AGGGAATTCACATTAGTTCTTTTATTATGTTAGTGTTGCCATAAGACTTAAACCTTGATAAGTTATTAATATAGCTAACGGAAATTCCATATATAGTTCGGCTAGAGAATATCCTATCGCAAAAAAAAAAAAAAACTTTAAAAACCTATGTTTCTAAAGGTGGGACCTTACAGAAACATGACTTGGCCTATACGTTTAGGCAGCTTCTAAAACTGGACATATAAAAACTGAAGTATTCATAAAATATTTAGAAACATTACATTGATTTTTTTTTCCTATTGAAAATGGTTGGTTATTAGCTCTTAAAGCTACTCTACCTGTTTTTAGTATTTCCTCTCATCGCTCTATTGTGACGTCACCCGTTTCAATAGCTGCGGCCCGTGCGTGGCTCGCGCCCGCGGCCCCCCTCTTGTCCCATCGCAGCGAGTGCTCCCGTGGCGTCCGTCCGCGAGACAAAAGCACGCGCGGTGACAAGCTAAATTGGTTTGAAAAGAGGCAGATGGGGCTCGTGTTCTCCTCTGTGTCGCTTACACACACACGCACAGATTTAAGACTGAGCCTAAAAGCGGTCCTGTCATGTTTATCAAGATGCTACTGAATAAAGATTGGTAGGGAATAAATTACACCCAATATTAATATCCAACAGCCTTTTAACCAGTTTGACAGTTGCTTAGACAGAGAAATTTGTAATTTACAGTTTAACAAAAAGGAAAAAATTAGTTGGATCACACTTTTCTTCTCAAACGTCTATGTTGTAATTTAGTTAAAGTAACTTTTATCTCTTTGAAAGTCTTCAACATTTACAAAAAACGGCTGACATGGAAGTAAAAGGCTATTATGTCTAACCGCTATATTAAGTCTTACTAAATCACTTACAAGAGTACAAAAGTCTTTTTAGGCAAATTAAGGCAACGATTAAGACTACACCTTTGTAAAGAAACAGTTTAGTAAGGCTCACAGGCTGTACTACTGAAATACACTGACATTAGCCATATATACTACTTTACTGCATCCCTGCTTGTTTTGGCCCCAGGTAATTCTTTATTATTCTGAATACCAACAGGCCTACACGCCTGAATAACAGCAGGGACACTATATGCATCAAAGTTATTCTGGCCTTCATGTATCATCAAAAACATGCTGTTAAAAATGTATTACCCCTGCAACTCATGAGAAGTGCCTGTTTGACAAGACACTATGGTCTATTCACCAACAGTCCTCCTCAGTAATGAACTGTAGCCTATCTATGGCCTACCCATCTTAGAACTTGCATCCCAATTGAACAGCCACTGCCAGTTACTATTGGCACAAAGTTTTTCTTCCATGGGTCATGAAAGAATTTGTCCCTAAAAGAACTTCATGAAGTTGTTTTAATTAACAGGGACAATCAGTATTTGGGACAACAGTTCACTCAATTCCAATTCAGAGTTAAATGAGATCCTTTCTTTCATCATTCAAACATTTGCTGATGACTATGAGGCAACTAATATCTGGGTTATAGACTTCATATTTAGGTCTTTTCTGTCATATCTGTAATTTGCTTTCATATTTTTAGTGGAAAAAGTAATTGAGCAGCAGGAGCAACATGCCTGGTTTAAGAGCTTGGAGCAGGGACGTAGCTAGAACTTCCTGTGCCAACCCAGAGATCTGACCCCCCCCCCCCCTGCAATTTTTGATGGCCCTCTTCAACTGAATTGTCTCTGCTGTTTTAGCATTAGGTTCTAGCTGCACACCCCTGACCCACAATTACAACAGATGACATTGGCTACACTATGCTTCCTGCTGCCTTTTATCTCCTGGGAACATCCTGCACATGTATAGAGAGTCGTTTTTAGAAAAGCCTTCTCAGCGTTGAATGTGAGTATCAGCTGTACTGACAGACATTATTCTGATCCCCTGACTGCCTGCCTGTCTGACTGCTGCCTCAGCCTTTATTTTCTCTTTCTTGGCCCCTATGGTCAGGCTAATGTTTTACTCCACACTGTGTCTGTGTTTAAAAGCTACATTTCCAATGCCAAGCTCATCTGCTGCCTGTGTCTGGTGCCAGCAGTCGCTTTTAACATCAGTTTGTTAATTAATTCACAACTCAGGGCTTTGTGTATCAAAAGTCACGCTCCTGTGTTGTTTATTCCAGGGTTTTCCAAACTAGGCTATTAAATGTCAAAGTCCCCCCCACCCCACCCCCTTAAGAGTGTTCAGTGGACCGGCAGACACCCATCTAATAGCGACAGCTTGTACTGTAGTTACAATTGGTTGTAGAGATGTGTGCAGTGTCAAATTAATTCAAAATTAATATTCATTAAGTCACTAATAAGTGAGTACATTAGCCAAAATGATGTGAATCTTAAATTCTGTTTGGGATATGCTGTATTGTCTTTATAGTTTATGAGAGTTTCACCCTTGGAGGGGGGTCATTTCATGCACAAGCGAATGTGTTTGTAGTGCAGGCTCGTGCGCCTCTCCATCCTTCCGTCCGTCCGCGCCGTTAGTTTGACTTTTCCAGCCTTTGAGTGGCAGTTAGCAGGTCTGCTCAGTTGGATGGGGTATCGAGAAGAAGTGGAGAAATAAAATGTGTGTGTGTGTGTGTGTGTGTGTGTGTGTGTGTGTGTGTGTGTGTGTGTGTGTGTGTGTGTGTGTGTCCTGGATGGTGGGCTGAGCTCGCGCAACACGCCAATCAAACTCGAGGCAGGTGCGTTGTCGAGAGAGAGAGCGAGAGAGAGAGAGAGAGAGAGAGAGAGAGAGCGAGAGAGAGACGGATCAGGACGGCGCGTGGTGTCTCTGAAAAGCGAATAAAGCCGGCGCGAGCGTCGCAGTTTACTCACATCTCACGAGCAGGCTCACTCGTCAGCTGGAGAAAGAAGCTGGTGCCTATTCCATGTTTGCCGGATATAATTCAGTTACATCTGGTCGTTCACGTGATAAAAATGAGTTTTTTAAAACTGTGTAGGACAAATCGATTTCTCTCTTGACGGGTTTTTTTTTTGTTTTTGACGCATTTGGGATTATTCCCGGGAGTCAGAGGTAAGGACTGCTCGACCATTTCAGCTGTACGCTAAAGTTGACTAAAATGTTTGTAAAAATATACCTGCTTAATGAAAACTGCACGTGTTAACATGAGCGATTTGGCAAAAAACAGGTACGATTTGAAGAAGAAAATGCTTGAAAATATGTGTGTGAATTTTTCACATTCCGTTGCATCTCTGACCCTAATTTAAAATTACTAGACTGTATTATTAGGCTTTTATCAGTTGTATTATTCATTTTATTATTAGTATATCCATTCGTATTATTATTAACGCATTTTTGTTAAACAGATCGTTTAGTCTACCTGAAATTGTTCCATAAATAAGTTACAGGACGCTTGACTAAATGAGAAGCGCAGTACTTCATTGAAGGCCTATAGGCTACCGTTACATATTGCCTTGAATTAAACTTGGGTTGAACAAAATTCTTAAATTTGCCTAAAAGTTCAACTAACAGACTATTTGAATCTAAACTATGAACTCTGCGTTTGGGCGTTGGGCTAATTGCTTAATTAGTTTATTGGCTCCTTCATAGGTCGTTGCTCAGCCCACACAATTCGACACCACATTAGTCCATATTTTGCGCCGATAATTTGTTTCAAGTACATTCGGAAAGACATCTTTTCGTTTTTTTTCATTATGTGGCCTGTTTAATACCATGTTGTTCCGTATTGTTATTATAATAGCGTTTCCTCGAATATATTGTGTACATAAATAAAAGTAATAAATATATTAGTAATTTATTTGTTGAAACAAACATTTCCTGAAAATTAGCTGGGGAAAAAACTGAAAGCAATTTCTCTCTTTTTTCGGTGGTACACGTGATGCACAAAAAAGGGTTTAGTTATGCTGTATGTAAAATGAGAATTTCTAAAATATAAATTTCAGAATTTGCCAACTTTATGAAAAACTAAAACGAATATCCAAGTAATATAACTTATTCACCACTAAGCAGATGTTTACAATAAAGTTAAAAATTGTGCTTTGTGTTGCAAAAAACATTGCAGAATAATTTGTTGAAATAATATAACATGGTCAATTTTGCTTTCACCCAATGTTATATATGCTTTCTCACTAAATTTTCTGCTTTTTTCTTGATGATGCTACTTAGAATAGAAGAAGAATAGAATAGAATCTAAATAGATATGCACAGAGAGACTTTAAAAAAAGACTAGACTGTGGTCTCTGGACATGTTGAACTTTACGCATTAAGTTGTGCCTTGTTAGCTGGATAAGACTGTACATCTATTGTAACAAATATTTTAGAAGAGTATGTTATTGTCCTCTTTCATGGTTTGTTCCTTTAACAGCTGCTTTTGAAAACACAGACAGGGAAACACATTACTTTAGAGCTATGAATGGGGATCTATATTCTGAAATACAGAGACTATAATTTTTGGGAAAACAAATGAACTTACTGATCTTCAAGATTTAATAATTTGAAAATACAGGAATAAATGCAGAAAGTGACATATAAATGCAGTATTTGCATTTGCTGTGAACCAAGCACCTCACTTAACTAGTCTTTAATTTTCAAACAATGTCATAGTTATTTAAAACATTTCTGTGCACTCAATAATTTTGTAAGAGCAGTTCAGATGACAGCAATCCCATTTTGAAGCCGAAGTCAAAGCTCATTTTTAAAATTTATATTGATGTTAAATTATTTCCAAATTGAGTGAGTTTTTTAATACATAGAAAATAAAAGCATTGTGGTGCTTGGCTGTAAACTGGGAGTTCAGTTCATTTAATTTAGATACATCTAATTTAAAATAATCATGTATTTTCAATGTGCACAATTTTTCCTACACATTTTGTTTATATCGTTTTTGATAGTATAAGCGCATTAAAAGGATTTATCAGCTATTTCATTTTATATATAATATATAGAGAAAAGACAAGTTATTTATTTTCTTTCTTTCTTTCTTTCTTTCTTTCTTTTTTTCACTTAGGTCCTTCTACAGTTTTTCTCCAAGTATGGATAAAACCCATCTTTCAAGCTCTAATGACATCATTATGACGAGCTCAACTGGCTACCAGCAGGAACCCATGACTCCACCCAGACCCACCCACATCCACTCCTCATCCTCTTCTATGTCCTCACCCTCTCCCTCTTCTTCCTCCTCACCCCTCAAGCCCAACCAGGTTGGCCAGGTCATCCTGTACGGCGTTCCCATTGTATCACTGGTCATCGATAACAATGAGAGACTTTGCCTGGCGCAGATTTCCAACACACTCCTGAAGAACTACAGTTATAATGAGATTCATAATCGTCGCGTGGCACTGGGCATCACCTGTGTCCAGTGCACTCCGGTTCAGTTGGAGATCCTCCGTCGGGCTGGTGCCATGCCCATCTCGTCACGCCGCTGTGGCATGATCACCAAGCGTGAAGCAGAGCGCCTGTGCAAGTCCTTCCTGGGAGAGAACTCGCCGCCGAAACTGCCCGATAACTTTGCCTTCGATGTGACACACGAGTGCGCCTGGGGTTGCCGTGGTAACTTCATACCGGCACGCTACAACAGCTCCAGAGCCAAATGCATCAAGTGCTCCTTCTGCAATATGTACTTCTCCCCAAATAAGTTCATTTTCCATTCCCATCGCACACCAGACGCCAAGTACACCCAACCTGATGCTGCCAACTTTAACTCCTGGCGACGGCATCTCAAACTCACTGATAAACACCCACCTGATGAGTTAGTTTACGCGTGGGAAGACGTCAAAGCTATGTTCAATGGAGGGAGCCGGAAGAGAGCACTGCCCTCTTCAGCCCAGTGTCCCTCCATGGGGCCCATGAAGACTCTCCCAGGTTCGGTGGTGCCTCACATGATGGGACCTGACCTGGGCGCTCAGAAAAGAGCCCGCTTTGAAGACGAGGATGACCTGGATGGAGGTAGTCTGTCTCCTCGTAAAACACCACGTAGCTACCCTGTCATCCCCGTCCCAAGCAAAGGCTTCGGCATGCTGCAAAAGTTCCCTCCAACATCACTCTTCCCCTCACCTTACCCCTTCCCAGCATTTGGCCTCTGCCAGCAGAAAAAAGAGGACAGTGATGTTTCAGCTGGGCAGAAAGGAGCAGGGTTGTCTGGTCTTTTATGGCCTGGCCGCAAAGACACGTTTTATCCACCTTTCTGCATGTTTTGGCCACCAAGAGCAGCGGGAGGAATCCCTGTCCCCACCTATCTCCAGCCCCAGCCCAGTGCCCTCACCTCCCTGGCAGACAACCCTTCTCTCAGACAGGCCTTTCTGGATCTCTCAGACCCCAGTGAGCCTGGAGCTGTAGCTGGCAATGGAAATGGTGTCAGTGCAACCATGGCCTCTGGCAATGGGACCACCACTCCAAGATCTGGGCTGTTTGACCCAGACTGCACCACGACAACCCCTGACCTTCGCCCTGTGACATCAGAGGGCTGGCTCAAACTCCTGGACACCCCGACCCTCCAAACCAGGAAGCCAAGCTATGGCTCGGCCTTCCGCCCCGTCATCAAGGATGCAGAGAGCCTCGCCAAACTCCACAGCAATGGTGGAGGAGTCACTGGGGCAACGGATGAGGACTTTGGGGTCGTGGTCGCCGGGTCAGACCGCCACCAGAGGCTATCACCCACCAGCAGCTGTAGTTATGGCAGTGAAAGTGGAGGCGACGGAGAAGCAGAGGGAGCGGAGAGCGAGGAGGAGGGGGAGGTGGATGTGGAGTCATCGAAGCAGGAGGACGAGGAGGAGGAAGGGAGTTTCACAAGCAGGCCGCCACAGACTCAAACCAACCTGTACTTCCCTGCACTGAGCGACAGTGCCGGAGAGGAGAGGGGGAAGGAGAGAGGGAGTGGCGTATCGTACCCCAGCACCTCCCCTCCCTCCTCCTCGGACCCCATCCAGCAGGAGTCCCCCAGCCTGCCTGCTTCCCCTCCAGCCAGCCTGCCTCTCTCCAGCTCCAACCCACCTCACCGAGAGGACCCAGCTTACAAAAACGTAAATATCCCTCTAGGCCACTTTAGCTAATTATTATTTAAATGGTGCTGCAGTCAGGCAGTGATGTGATCTGCATAAGCAGATTGATAGGCTGGTTTCTCCCTGTAGAAATTGAAACAGTCACCCCACTCTGATCCCGGCTAATAGGCCCAGGCGTGGATTGTTTAATAGCCACGGTGTGTTTGTTCTCCCTCTGTCACCTCAGCCTGTTAGGGCAACTCTAATCTTTAACCTGTCGACTCCCACATTAACCAGGCCTCTGAGAGAGGAGCAGGAGGAGAAGGAGGAGGAGGGAGCGACACACAGATTTATGAGGAGCATTTTAAACTAGAACAAGTTAAATCATTCATAGAGTTACATACTGCAAATACATCTCACTGATTTCAGAGACGCAGAGCGGAAAAAAAGACTTAACCATATACTGAAATTTAGATCATTTCAAATGCATACAACCATTGGCTGATAAAAAGCAGAGCAACACTGAAGGAAAAATTTATTTGTACATGAAAAAGGAAAACGAAAAATAACCATCATATCAAATAATCAAAAAAATACAGGCATTACTCTGCCTTATTGTTATGTAACTGAACTGTATGATGCATAACCGATATATGAAATGCTAACTGACTATATGTGATTTCCAGATTCACAAAAACAGAGACGAAGGGCTACCCGCGTACGCAACCAAAGACAACTCCAGCATTTCTGGTGAGCACAGACATTTTAATCTATTGTTTTTAAAGCTTTCCTCTCTTTGTCTTTTCTAATGTAGAGTTTTAAAATTTAAGGAATTATATGAAAGGAAATTATTCTGAGCATTATAGTGTTGATTGCATTAAAAGTGTAATTATGTCTATCAGTTTCATGCAATTCATCCTTTTCAACTGCTAAATAGTGTTTGCGCAAAAAGTTCAAATATATTACACACTCTCTTTGTTTCATCAAGCATTTGCAAAACTAAACTACAGATTGTCTTTCATATATATAATCTACAAAAAGCACTTTGCTCGCTCTACTGTCTGCGTGGGTTTCTTGACACTACGTCTTTCACCCTGCAGTTGTTTTACAACGTCTCGGTTTCATCAAATGTTTGATAAGGTTTTTACAGTTTCATCAAATAGCATTACACAATCTATTTCAGCAAACTGTTACACACTATCTGTTTCATCAGACATCTGAGTCGGTTGTATTATAGCATCTTTGTTTCATTTATTGTCTGAGTGAGTGGTTTTATAGTGTCTCTGTGTCCCTGCAAGGCTCATATTCCTGTGACGTTTCATTTGCTCCTCTCATCTCCCACTCTGACCCTTTTGCTGAAGAAAATGTCTTCTGTGTGTTTTGTAGCGGTGTGCTCACATACACATACGCGTGGCCATATGGCCCATATACGCAACGGAGACACACACCATGCGCACACTTAGTTATCTCCATGTGTCCGGATAACCAGCTCAACCAATGGGCCTTACTGAATCTCTCGTCCTGTCTGTGTCTCTGTCTCTCTCTCTCAGATGAAAACAAAGAGCAGAATAGTTTCTTTGCACCGGAGAGTGAGACGTCAGCAGCAGACTACTGGAGGGAGAGCTCAGGTACATATACTCACTTATGTTTTTCTTTTTCTTTTTTTTTTTGGAAGTGGTTGCAGAAAAGCTGTGGTCAGATGGAAAACAACAAATACATAAATGCAGACAAGACAGCAAAATGTAAAAATGGCAGGTTAGGTACTATCTGAAGAGAATTATTAGGATGAAAAGGTTAACTTAATTTCTGCATGTGGTTTCACTCCTCAGTAATTTGAATCTCATATCACAGATTAACTGAGGTCTTAATAAAACTGCAGATTAAATCCTGATATAACATATACATTAGGAAATTAAATAAAAACACCTCTCAAACATGAACACATGCAAAAGTGACTTTTTACTGTAAATGGAAGTTAGCAAATTAGAATTACGATCTCTAAAAAACTTATCTACAGAATAGGAATATATATTTATTTGCAGTCTGACATTTAAAAATAAATATCAATATTGAATAATAATAAAGGTAAATAAAAAAATCTGCATTAATGGCATCAAAAGCTACAATTCTCCTTCCCTTTTTTAATGTAGCACAATGTGTAGATGAATTTCCATATTTAAAACAAACAAAACTCAGTTCTCTAAGTTCTCAGATGAAAAAAAAATATGATTTTTTTTAATGCAAAAATTACAGTGACATTTCTTCTTATTGCAAAAAATGAGACTCAATACTTAAAGCAGTGAGGGAAGGCTCCACAGTCTTCAGCCTCATCCACCTCAGTCTCCTCCTCCTATCAGACGGTGAGTTAAGGGATTCATAATAATACACAGAGAGATGAAACAGCAGTGGAAAGCTGCTCCTGCCGCCACTCTGCCACAGCTGCTCTCTTTAGCAGCATTGTCACCAGGGCTGTTACTCTTAGGGGGGCCGTTATAGTTCAACAAGAAAACATCAGCTCAGAGATAAGCAGCCGCGTTGGCAATCTCCATCCTAGACCCATATCGCTGCCGACATAATTGCCTTTTTTTTTCCCTTCCTCAGCGCAAAAAACCCCTTCCCGTTTGAAAAAGATCACAGCTTATTGCCTTTTTATATCTGTCAGGAAGACATTAAAAGTGCTTTATGACATCTGTGCCAACATTTATATCTACCCCCCACTCCCTCAACCCCTACACACACACACACACACCGTAATGATCCCTGCGCATAATGTATAATGTATTTCGAAAAATTACACGAAACAAATTAAATGAGACCACCTTTCCCCTGATTGCCAAACGTCTCCCTGGGCGGTGGGAAGCTCTACGTGATTAGAAGGCCTGATTCCTCCGAGTCCCACCACCCCCCCTCCACTGTCTTTAAACTCTCCCTCTGTTTCTAGGGAGAAAAAATAATCTAATTTTCCATTTATGTAATGCAAACCGCCTTGGCTTTGACTATTCACGGTTAATTGACTGTCAAACGAGGTTGTTATCCTCAGGCACTGTCTGCAAATTTGCTTGTCAAATGAGACAGAGAGAGGAGAGGAGAGGAAAGGAGAGAGGAGAGGAGGAGAGAGGAGAGCTCTCTCTGCTCTAAATGAGGGAGAGAGAGAAGCATAGGGAGGCTTAAGGAGCCAAGATATGAAATGACTGGAGGAGAATATACACATCGAGGATGCTGGATTGCTTCATTTAAGGCGTTCAATGCCTCATTGTCACAACTCAGACGTTAGCACAAACACATAGATAGGCGCAAAACAATGCAGACACTTTTCAAACTGGTACATCTGAAAACAGCATGTGATGGAGATGTTTGTGTAAAAAGGAAAACGGAAACTGTGAAGTTTTATAAGCAACAAGTAGATCTACACAGACAAAATACAGATCACATGAAGTACTGTATAAATTTGATAATACTCTTATACACAAATTTACTGTGGTACAACAATTCATCTGCCCAAAAAATACAGTCGCTGACATTTTAATGCAACAGTTTGAGAGCACAGTAACCTGCAGGCTTTGCGTTTTTTTAAGTAAAATTGGTGGAATGTCCAGTTAAATTTTTTTTACTTATCAGCTCAGACCTTCACTTCAGCTTTCAATTACTCCAATATCAGTGTCCTGGTGCTAGTGTTTTTCCTCTTTTCTTAATAAGAAGCTTTTTGATGACTGCAAGAAGAGACTGAATTTGCCAGGGAGTAAATGCAGTAAAATTCTCCATTACCACAAACTTACACTGACACCCAGAGGCCAAGGAGTGAATTACATTGCTTCACTGAAGACGGAGAGAGCATTAGGAAATAGAGCAGGGTTCAGAATGTTCATGTAAAAATACATGGAGGATACATTGAGAGAAGACTGGTGGGGAATCAGTCCATAACACTAAATATGTTCATGTGACGCAGATATGATTTACAAATGAAATATATTGTCTGGTGTTGTGGAAGGGTTGAACGAAACGACTCCTGGTGCCAAATGTAACCGATATACTGTAACTACCTCTGACTGAGACCGCTCCATGTTTTCAGGTGATCAAAGCCAAAGAGCTGCTTCTCCTGTCCCACTGAAGAAGGATGTTGAAAACATGGAGAAAGGTAAAGACTGTTCATTTCACTAACTCTCGCTCTGCTGTACTAAAAAACTAAAAAAACGTAAGCCCAATCCTTATTGCTTAGTATTGCACAGAGGAATCATTGCATACACACCGCCCCAAGAGTCAGAAATATTTGACTGCAGGTAGCAAGTAATCCCCTGGTCTTTCTTTCCTTCCTTCATCTCACTTTCTTTCTTCTGCTCTGTCCTGCTCCTGCAGAGGAGCTTCAGAAGGTTCTGCTGGAGCAGATCGACTTCAGGAGGAGACTGGAGCAAGAGTTTCACGCTCTGAAGGGCACTTCACCATTTCCTGTCTTCCGTAAGTCTTTTTTTTTCTCCTCACCGCTCTTTTCTTTTTCTCACTCTGAAGGGCAACGTCTCCTTCTCTGTCTTTTCCACTTTCTCCTCAGTACCTGTCTGTCTTTTCTTCCTTTACTTTTCTTTTCCCCTATTGCTTCTGTCCTTTATCCTTCATCAGCTGAGTGACTTGATCAGTTATTTAAATGATAATGCTGCTCAAGCTAATCATAGATTTTTACACTAATTTCAGATAATTTTCAAGACCAGATGAAACGAGAGCTCGCCTACAGAGAGGAGATGGTCCAACAGTTACAGATGGTAAGACGACTAATGATACAATCAGTGCTGAATACTGATAGAAAATAAATATCATTTCTACGCCTTTAAATGACAAATAAAACATCCTTTTATAGATACATGAATTTAAAAAAAACCTCACTGATTGCTTTGAAAAACAGTCTTGGTAATGATTTTTATAATGATAAGACTAATTATGAAGCACTACTCAAGAAAATATAGTTTCACAGTTCAAACAAGTAAAGACAAAATCCAAATGGTTCAGGAAATGTGACAATAATAACTCAATTAACACTACAACTACGGTAGATTGTAGACATAAATAAGAAATCCTGAGCCAAGTCTTAAAGCTAAAACAGAAATTAAATGAAAAGGAAGAGAAGGCATCAATGGGAGTGAAACTGGGCACTTGTGCTGTTGCTTATTTGTCCATCAAAAGGCAGAGGCAGTCATCTAGTTTGTCTTTCATGGGTGAGAAGTTCCTCTGCAGACGTCTGAGCGTTTCCGTCCGCATCAATCACCAGAGCAGCTGGCAGACGTGCTGACAGACGGTGTTTGTCTTTGCTTTCTGACACAAGTGTACACGCGCACATGATCGCAAACCCTGCACGTACACCGAGACGCACACAAGAGCGCACTGCACTCATGTAGCCACAAAGTCACGCGACTGAACATGCTTTCAAACTCATTTACAAGCATGTGCGTGCGCACATACACGTGCACACATAAAATGTTCAAAATTGACAAATGTGTCTAGAAGAAGCAGATGGATCTGTCTGAGCGTAATGACACATTAATTTCACACAGACTTTAAAATGAACTCCAACAAAAAATTTTGATTTATGTTGCTGCGGCATATTTTAAAATTTGGACTGACTTATTTTCAAGTATAATTGTGATGAAATCTTAATCATGTTTCACTTCTTTCTTTTCAAAAATAGATAAATGTGTTTTTGAGACTTTGAGTTTCTGAGACAAAAGAATGTATTAACCTTCACATAATCCATTATTTTAAGACTAAATGCAGAAATAATTGTCAATGTTGAACCATTTTAACTGATATTTATTACTGGAATCTTTGGTAAAAATCAGAGCTTACACACCAGGAACACATCGAGGGCTGTGACCAATCATTTTTTAATAATATATATATATATATATATATAAATATATATGTATATTTACTGCAGTATTTAAAGGTGTTTTTCAAAGTCCTGTCTTTTCGGGATTAATCTAACTTTTGCCTCTAACTTCTGTTTCTTTCAGATTCCTTACGCAAACATCCTCAGAAAAGAAAAGATCAGCTCACATCTCAACAAGTAGCTAAAAGGTGACTATTTTTTTTATTAATTTAATAATGCAGCTTTTCATCATTTAACAGTTCACAGCCAGACCAGGGGGAAAACATAAAATACAGTATCTGCACATTAGCTTTATTTTCTTTTACTTCAGTTGGTGATTTATAGATGAAATTCAATCACTTTTTACTGAGTAACATACTTGACAAGTAGTTATCCTGGCTCAGCGAAGGCCAGCCATCTGAAAGCTACAGTATAAAGCATTCACAGTGCTTTTCACAAGTTAACCCTCAACACCAGTCTCTGGACACATTGTAACAGACGATACTGTAACTATTAAATCCTATTAATCTCTGAAACTCTCTGCAAACCAGACCATGATACCAATGTTCGATTTTAATTTATTTAACGTCTTTACAGGTGGAGTCAAGAAAATCTCATCGAACAGGAAGAAGCTGCTTGGATTTCTGTGAATATTCCAAGAATAAAAAAACAGCTCACAGGAAAACTGACAGAGAAATATAGGAGAGATTATTATTAGTATTTGGCTGCTTCTTCAGCACCACCTCTGTTAATAGCCCTGCACTTAAACTCTCAATGACTCATTTGGACCAGTTCATACTGCCATGGGGTAGCCGCTGGCAAGATTCATCCCTGTTTCCTTGGTCACATTTATTTCACAGACTGACTGAACTGAGCGGAAGACGAACTGGTGACATCAGGAGACTCCTGCTCTTTTCCTCATTGCTGCACTGGCAGTCAGACTCAAAGCTTTACCCAACCAGGACCAAAGCAACCACAGCCTTTCTTGCCCTTTGTGGACTCTAAAACTTTTCTAGGGCTGTTGAAAACCACCAGGAAGGCAGTTGTAGACTTCTTCAAAAAAAAAAGACACTCTGAATTTTTTTCCAAGCTCTTAAAAGAAGAACAGTCGTAGATTTGGTAAGACTGGGTGTTAAGTCTGTGACTGTGACCGCTGCTGGCCCAATTGTACATACACCAGATTGTGGATGAGGATGGATTTCACACAAGATTTTTTGCTGTTGTTAATGTTGTTGTTGCTGTGGTATCACCAAATGAGGACCCTGAAGAAAAACAAACATACCAACCTTTATTTATCGTCAACATTAGATCCCAAAGGGATTCTCCTCCTCATGTCCAGTTGTGTTTACTGACCAAAACAAACTTCCTTGTGAACACGAATCATCATTACCCCTGTTTATCAACATGATCACTGAAGACATCAGATGTTGGTGAGACTAGATTCACATGAACTTTTAGTTTTCCCTAACAGGAAGATGCCAGATGAAGAACAAAATAAAGGGGAAAAAGGGATCAGAGCACAGGGAGCATTGATGTGTTGGGTTTTTAAACCTAATGGTGCAATTTGACCAGTATTGATACATGTTTGTGTCACAGAAAGCTTTCCCACTTTTACCCATAGTTCTAGTATTTGGGAGTGATTCCTGAATGTACAAAAAACCTACAGTATTATGTTCAATGCAGATTTTGCTGCATCTGATTATGCATTTTGCATTTTTATGCATTATGCATTTTTTAAAACATCATCCTGTCCCATCTACAGTGTGTATTAAGTAACATTCTCCTCATGTTAACCTCTGAGCATATCGAACAGCACAGCTGGAGACTCCTTTGTTTAAAGGCACCCTGAAGGTACTTTTTAACCTCCACTCAAATTTTCTAACCATCAACTTACAGGCTTCACTTCCACCCAAAGGTGAGGTTAAAATTGCCACAATCAGCTGCTGTATCTGCCTTTAAAATATATTTGGGGTGTTAGCAGATGGTGAACAGACAATTACAGGCCAATTCAGTTTGCTTGTTTGCTCTCCAAGAGAATGTCTGGGCCACAAGGAGCAAAGTTTGTCAGTGTTGTATATCTACCTGTAAATGATTTCACCTGACTGTATAAAATGTCATAAGTGAGAACACTGAACCCCACAGTCATGTCTATCTGTATGTGTTTGTTTGTTTATTTATTTGAGTATCAGACCCTGATTGTGAAAATATTATTTATTACAATGTTAAAAGAAAAAGAAAGAGACACGATGATGACGGTGCAGTCCAGTGTATGTCAGAGAGAATAAAAATGAGAACTTACCCTCATCCTGTTAATAGAATGAAATGAATGAATGGATAAAGTGGTCATTTACTGATGAAGAATGTTATCATTATAAACTGTTAATGCAGATGTATTTAAATATGTTCTTGTAGTTTCTCTACTATTTATGTGTAAATTAAAAGTCTATACAACAACCAGAATTTGGTTTCACGATTAGGACTGTTTATTGTTTATGTTAATGAAATTCTTTAAGCTGATGTTAACGGATTTCTGTTCTGAATTTAATGATACTATAGCTTACAATTTTGATAATTTGATGCTCTTGAAAATGAAAGGTCATTTCATAAACACACAATAATGTTAATTAGTGCTTTAGTTGCATTTTAACATAAAAACAGAAGTGAAACAGGAGAGCTCACAAGGTCATACACTTAATGGACCACCTCCTCTCAAATAAAAAAATAATTAAAATAAATAATATAAAACACATGTATTTAAACAAAATACATAAATAAATAAAAACATGTATACAGTACATACAAATTAAATAAAGGAAAATAAGAGATGTCACAAACAACAGTGTAGCTCAGTTATACAATGATAAGATACAGAGATATAAAAGACATTTATACATGACCACAGCTTTTTATTTTGCGATATCAATCTTCACAAAAAAAAGAAAAGAAAAATCATTTAAAGTGAAATTAATTAATTATGTTTTTCTTTGTTTTGTTTTTGTTTTTTTTTTATCTTACTTGGCCTTTTACATAATTTATTTTATTTTATTTTATTTTTTCTTTTCTTTAGGCGAAATACATAATCTGGCGTAAATAAGAAAATAAATACATAAATACAAATTTTAAAAAATGTTACGGCCAATTCTAATTACGACTGTCCTTGAAATATTTTTTAAGAAGCGTATTTCGGTACAATTTTTAAGTACAAGTTCCCTTCCTTAGGTCCTGACACGGAGGGTGCAGCCCTTGAACAAGACCACTTTGAAGTGAACAGAGGGACCATGGATGCATTGTGGGAGGGACGTCCTGTTCTTCTATTGCGCGACCTCCGCTGCTCGTTTACGGCATCTCCATCTCTGGGAGTGGTGCACGAAGAAGAAGGAGAAGAAGAAGAAGTTGCCAGCATGGCGTTTACACTGTACTCCCTTATCCAGACCGCTATTCTGTGCACAAATGCAATTGCTGTGTTACATGAGGAGCGGTTTCTCAGCAAGAGTAAGTATTCCGCCATATTTTATATAACGTACTTCACACTTTATTGAGATAACGGTGGATACCTGCTAAAAGTAGCTAGCTGATATTAGCTGCTTTCTACTACACCCAGCTACTTAAGGGAAAATAAGAGGAGGATAAATGGTTAAAAATCCACATAAACACATCTTCTGTCTTATTTTTCCTCTGTTAACCCACTGCCACCTCCTGTCTTCTTTATCCTTTCTACATTCTTGTCTTTACCCTCTTCATCACTGTCTTCAGTCGGCTGGGGTGTTGACCAGGGAGTCGGAGGTTTTGGGGATGATCCAGGAGTCAAAGCCCAGATCCTCAATCTCATCCGTTCAGTCCGGACTGTCATGAGAGGTGGGAAAGCTAAAAAAAAAAAAAAAAAGACAATGTTTAATAATCTAAGAGTAAATATTGTGTGAATGTCATATTCAGTAGGGCTGGGTGTCCTGTGAAATGTCCTGATAACATCATAATACTGTCTTGTTCGATTTCTTGATTTACATGAAAATAGATCAAGGTTTAATTTTGTTTTGATCAGAAAGATGGTCACCTGACTAAGAAACTGAGCTAAATTTGAGTACTTGACAGTCTTTAATACTCAGGGCTACAGACACATTCTGGTCAGTGCACAAATGCCCAGCTCTACTACTCAGAGTATGAGGATTTTGTAACTAAAGTTTCCAATGAGAAACATTTGTTTATGTGTTTTGTTTTTTCCAGTGCCTTTAATCATAGTGAATTCAGCCTGCATCGTCCTGTTGTTGCTGTTTGGTTAACACTGCGCGCCAGTATGAAGCCAGGGGACCAGACGTGCCAAGGAACAACTGCACATGCTCACACAGACACACACTGTATTGTGTGTCATTTTGCCAGTCTTCAGCAGTATGGAAAAGTTTTCCCATAACGATTGGCAGGGGAATGGATGAAAGGGGGAAAAAAAAGAAACAAAACAAAATCAATTTCAAAACTGAAACGAGAGAACTCATCACTTGGACAAAAATATGGCCTGTGTTGGCCCCTAACATCCCTGTCAGTGTCACACCAAAAGGACAAAATAGATAAAATAGATCCCAGAGTTTTGTTTTTGTGCTGCACAGTGTTTGTCTTCACTTGTATCATCACATATTTGGTCACAGACACATTGAAGGGAATCAGTTTGAATGATTTCATGATGATATGTGTCATGTTTTATTTTAGTGTGACCAAGGAGGAACTTGTCACTTTTTATAGATATGGCAAAGTGTTGTTAGCAGTAGGTCTGGACGGTATTTCCAGTTTCACTTCCCATAACATCATAATGGACAGCTGCAGTGCACAGTTTATGTATTTTTTAAATGGGGCTCAGGACTGGTTCTCACCATGCAATGTTCCAGGTGTACAGTTTGGTCACCAGTGAAGACTCATAGATAATGTTTGGAAATCAGAAATTATGCTAGTGCCTGCTGTTAAAATTATAACCGTAATCCTTGTCAGAAGAAGGGTTTTGTTTAAACAGTGGACTTCTGGGGACAGACACAAGGAGACATTCAACACTTGTTGACTGGTTGTCAAAAAGACTGTTACTTTATAGTTCTAATGGTCCTGCAGTCCTCATTTGTGACAGTGAAGGAAACTCACAACCTACTGAAGAGTTTCACAAAACCAAGCCTGAACAGAAATTACAGTTAGAGCTCCTTCATTCTCAGTAATCTCTACCCACTGAAGCGTAAAATGGGCAGTGTTTTATTTCTCCTGTTAGAATTTTGTTAAATATGTGTAATGTAAATTTTAAACATTATTGCCAAACACAACTCGCAACAATGTACTTTTGTACTGTTTACACACCCATAAATGTATTATTCAGTATAATGAAATTCTTTTTATCATCTTTTCTTTCTGAGTGTGGCAGAGGAACAGAGAACATGTGGACAGGAGTTTCTGCTGTTTCCCATTTAAATTAGCCTCTGCTACCACTTTTCATCTATTCTAAATAGATAAATAGTACATTTGAAACAAGCCCCTTCTTGCTTTTACAGCAGTACCTTACTCGCACTTGACAAAATAGCAATACTTTCACTTGAGTAGGATGCTGGAGTATCTTCTCCACCACTGTTCTGTATAGATATACACCATGTTTGTGCTCCACTTCATTAATAATCCCCATATGTTGTGAATTATCACCATTACCTCCCCTGCTAAGCTCCACAAACATTTTTATTAACACTAGTTTTGATCCTAAATGCATATGAGGGGGCGTGAGAGGGAAAAGGGGATCTGCTGGAATTAAAAGCATATGTTTATCAGGGAGATTTGCACAGTAAAGCCACTTTGATCTGTGATTAGTCGGAGTTTAGCTGTGGGTTCACCGTAAAATCTGTAAGCGATCACAGGCGAGTCAACATGCATATGTATCTGCTCTCCACAGGATAGGTTATGTGTTTTTTGGGTCGGTGGTCTGACAGTAATAAATCTTGAGAATGTGGTTTGACAGGTTGGTTTGAAGCAGCTTTATAATTCCTCTTCATTTTAGCTGCTCAATCATATAGTTTTCGATTTTTTGTGCCACTTGTTAGTTTAATTAATTCCAAAAAACAAGTTCAAGAACATAAAAATGCGAAAAAATGTGGAGACAAAATGTATAAACATCCAGAATAGAAAATATGTGACCACAAAGCATGCCACAAAGTCAGAGGTTTGTTTCTAATAATAGCAAGGGCCAGTGAATATACCAAAAGAAACATATAAAACATAAAAAGCAAACAAAAGAGAGAGAGAGAAAACAATCAAAATCTGAACCATAACACTGAATTGAAGCCATGAGAAGGGAGTTCAAAGATGGTCCTAATTTAGATATTTTGTTGTGCAGCACAGTGTTTTCCATAGCCATCATCTGAGCTGCATACTATATAGACACAAAAACTGAAAACTAAAAGAAACAGTGTTATTCACTATGTGGAGGTAACATGAAAAGAGGATTTGATCAGTGTTATCTGGCATCGTGCAGAGAGAAGGTTTTTGATGTTTTGATAATACCTCCCACCACATTAAATCTATCTGAATGCCCTAAAAGATGCTCTAATGCGATACATCTGTTGGTTGTTAGTGAGATGGGACACATATGTTTTTTTTTTATTATTCTAATGAGTGATTAAGTGGTTAAAGATAACCCTCTTATCTGATTACAACATATAAATTGGAAAAATAATAATAGAGAGAAGAAGAGAGGGTGATATCAAAAAGAGAGAGTCATATTAAAATTGTTTTTTTTGTTTTAGTTTTTTTTTCCCGAGGAAAATTGAGAAAATAATACTTTTAACATGATTCAGAAATTGATGAGAGTGGGAGCAGTTGCAGTGTATGGGCTGCAGGGGGCAGCATAAGTCCAATTTAAACCGACGAAGAAGAAAACATCAACAGGAAGCAGGAGGGACAGCTGCTGTTGCTAAAGGTTAGCCAGGCAGGTTGTCTAAACATAATGACTTTATAGTTATTGCACACAATATTGTACACAAGGATTGAAACAGCAACGAACAGCAATGAACTCGCTATATGTGCGAAAATTTAAAATTTAATTTAACAGCTACGTGAATTGTCCTTATCATTCATGTGTGGCACAAGCTGTAGGTCCAACAGTGGAAGAGGAAGCTTTTTTAGACTATTATTAGCAAACCTACAGCCTTTTCCAGCTAAACATGTAATAGCGGTTGAAAAGTATGCTATTCTAACTTAGTAAATTGCTTGAGAAGTGCTAAACCATTAAATATCACAGTTACAGCATGAATGTTACAGTGATACAGTAGAGGTTAATAAAAATGAGTAGTGAGACTGCAGTAAAACTAAAGGAAGTGCAAATAGCCTTAAAAACAAGACTAACAAGCTGTTCCACCACATTGTTGAGTAATGCAGAAAGAATGCAAAGCCATAGTAGAAATAACACAGGGATACTGTAGAAATAAAGTGGAGTTACTAAATAAGAGATGAGAACCTTTAAGTGTGACAGCAGTGAGTAAAGAACATAAATATAATACCATGATTATGATGAGGTATTGTAGGATTAGTGGTGCCTTTCTCACTTTTTCACATTTGTCTTGTGATGGTAGGAAAAACACAGGTGTAATTTATAACATTAACGATGGCTGCATCCCAGGATGATGAAGGGCCAGAGTAATTAATGTCATTAGTTACACCTGTGCTTATTCTGCCATGATTAAGGTCTATAACCTAAGATGCTTTGGCAACAACGGTGCATCAAATAGAAACCATTGAGCCTTATAAACATTTCCCTAAAATCCACCCAATATATTTTATATATTTGGAAACATTGGGATTTCTAATTTATGTTATACTTGTTCACACAACATAATGTCGCTGCATACTGTTGAGTATTATTGGAAAGCTTTGAAACCGGGCAGTTTAATACTACAGACACACTAGTAGTCAGCTGTAGAACTGTGAAGCTTGTTACAGCCCCAGTTTCCTGTTAACATTCCTGCTACACACACATGCTCAGAAAAAAGCTTATTCTCAGTTTGGCATAGCCTGTTATTCCTATTTCCTGTTATTAGTTGAGCTAAATACAAATAATAGATACAGGATCTACAGGCTGAGTGTGAGTGTGTATGGTTAAGCTATTTTAGGTGGGTATTAAGAGCATTAATTGTACCCTCACATTGATAACTACATGACAGAAATCCAAGCATATCTAAATAAAAGGGGATCACACAGTCAGAAATCAAATACCAATAAAATAGAATCCTAAAATCTGTATTCTAGGCAGGAAACCATAAATGCTTGAGACAAACCAGTCAATAATCCTCTCAGTTTGTCCTGATATAGGTTTGAATAACGCAGTAATCTGATCAGTTCTGCCACTACCGATGTGAATTATGATTATGAATGTGTAATCTCTAAAATAATAAATTATTTTGAAAGAATAAGCTTTTTTAAACTGAGTAAAGCTCCATTCACAGTGGACCTTGGTCATATTTAGGGGTTTAGAAAATCAGAATCAGAAACTGCAGTAGAAGCGGTGCTTATCTAACAGCAAAAATGTTTGTCGAGTGTTTGGCTGTTTTATGCTTGGTTGAAGCGTGTGAATGTCCTAACAACGATCAAAAACCAAAGAGTGTCGGAACAGATGCAGGTGTAGAACAGGCTATCATGCTCACATGCCACTGCATCCCTACAAGCTATGAAACATTTTCCTAACCTTGGGTCATGTTCACCATGTCTTCTGCAGGTTTCCAGCATGGCGGGCAGACGAGCTCTGAAGGCCGTGCTTATTGACCTGAGTGGAACTTTACATATAGAGGACACAGCGGTACCCGGGGCGCAGGACGCCCTCAACAGGTAGGAAACAGCCCCCAAACTACGGACAGACTTAAAATGGAGGGTCAAGAGTTTGAATGTTACTGCATGAATGAAAACCAACAGGACAGGTCCTTAGGACTCAGGACTGAAAACCACTGATCTACAATTATTTGGTTGAAAGTGTAATCACTGCTCCACATTGTCATGTCTTTTAAAGACCACAAATTCTCCAGTGTCACTGCATCATAATTTTGGTATTTTAGATTTTAAGATGTTTGCTTTTGTGTTTTGGTGCCGTGAGGTTACGACAGGCGTCTGTAGCTGTGAAATTTGTGACCAACACAACCAAGGAGAGCAAGAGGAACTTACTGGAACGACTGCAACGTCTCAACTTCGATCTCCAGGTAAAAGATCAAAGACTTTTGATTTAGTGCAGATGCTTTTATTGTAATGCTAAAGACATGAACTTAATAAGCAGAAACAGGTCTGATTCTGCTGGGTGCTCTGCCTCAGAAAGAAACAGCAATGTCTTTATTTTCCAAAAAGTAGATTCTTGTGCTGATGTTGATCTCAGGAGTGCTGCCTTATTCCCTGACCTTTGAAAATGAACTACTTTGTGCAGGAAAAGGAGATCTTCACGTCTCTGAGTGCAGCGAGGAGTCTGTTAGAGCAGAAACAGCACAGACCACTGCTGCTGGTGGAGGACAGTGCACTGGAAGACTTCACTGGTACTGGGCTCCAAGTGGTGTGTTGTGTGTGTGTGTGTGTGTGTGTGTGTGTGTGTGTGTGTGTGTGTGTGTGAGAGAGAGAGAGAGATGTGGGAACTTAACTGTAACTTCTATAAAAATGAAGCAGGACTCCTCGATGTCGTTCCAGGGTTTTTACTGACGAAAACATGCATCCACGATACATCACATCGGCTACTAACTCACATCGGCTACTAACTGCCCGGGAAGATCTCTTGTTTAACTAACATGCAAACGAATGAGCGCCACCCCGTGGTCTCACACTGCAACACACCACATATCACACAACTGAATCCTGTATATACCCAATCCCACCCCCAACTGTATTTCCAACACCATTTGAACATCAATCATGAACTGAACCAAGGATACAACATCCCCCCCCCCATGAAGACAGTTCTTGGAATTAAAGCTCCAGGGGGTACAACAGTTGAACTGGTCTTCTTAATATTGCCCTGTCTGATGTGCGTACAGCACACGATCTCACAAGCCCATCTCTTCCTGGAAAGAGCTGTTGGACGATCCCAGTCTTCCAAATCTGGCGCGGTGTCCTCTCCTCCCCGATGAGCACCAGATCTCCCTCCTTGAGAGGGGTAGAATGTGAATTCTTCGTGGTGTGGGCAGATCTCAGCTCCAGTAAGTACTCCCTTTTCCATCGAGTCCAGAAGTCATTTTGAAGACGCTGGCGGTATTTCCATCTCCGTGTCAGCTCCTCTTTGCTGGAGCTGGGGGTGCGACTGGCAGCATGAAAGGGTTTGGGTGGCAGGGAGCCGAGTCGCTTTCCAATGAGAAAGTGAGCTGGAGTGAGGGGCTGAGGCTCTTCAGGTTCGTTGTAAACAAAGGTAAATGGTCGTGAGTTTATTGTTGCTTCTGCTTCTGCCAGTAGAGACGTCATTTCCTCGAAGCTCAGTGAAGCTCTTCCCATCACTTTCTTTAAACATGTTTTAACTGATCTCACCAGTCTTTCCCAAAAGCCCCCCCCACCAGGCGGCTCGCTCTGCGATGTACTTCCATTTGATGCCCTTTTCTGTGAAATACCTTAAGAGCTCAGGCTCCTTGATGCTCTTCCAGAGCTCTCTGATGTCTTGATCTGCTCGTTTGAAGGTGCGTGCATTATCTGAATACACTGTCCTACACGGGCCTTGTCTGGATATGAACCTTTTGAATGCCAGGAGGAATGTTTCTGTTGACATGTCGGAGACCAGCTCCAGGTGGACTGCTCTTGTCACAGCACAGGTGAACAGTGCTATATATGCCTTTTCCACTTTGTCCTTTTTAGCCCTGACAAACAGAGGGCCGGCAAAGTCCACTCCAACAGTTTCAAACGGAGGTGCTTCTGTTATACAATCTCTGGGCAAGGGTGCTGTCGTCTGCTGCATTGCCTTTACTCTGAATCTTTTGCATGTAGTGCAGGCTGCAATGATTGTCTTTGTCATTTGTCGGGCTCGTGGAATCCAATATTTGTCTCTTAGTTGCATTAAAGTGTCTCTCATACCTGAATGCATCACTTGTTCATGACAGCAGCTGATCAGCATTTCAGAGAGTCTATGGTCTGAAGGCAGGATGTATGGATGCTGCTCACCGAAGCTCATGTCTGAGTGCTGTAGTCTTCCTCCGAGGCAGATCAGACCGTGCTCATCCAGAAATGGCTTCAGATCTCTAATTCTCGAGCCTCTGTGAATGTCTTTTCCTGCCTTTAATTCACCTTTCTCTCTCTGGAAACCTTGATTTTGTGCCTGCAGAATCCAGTATCTTTCAGCTTCAGCCAACTCCTCAGCTGTCAGCTCTCCTTGTCTCTTTTCACGTGAGCGTAAGTTGTGCGTGAATCTTTGAATCCATGCTGTGACTCTGAAAACTGTTCTCAACTTACTGTAGTTTTGCAGTTGTAACAGTGGATCTGTAGATGTTTGCTCCATGTTGTTGAGCTGGACTGTGACATGACTTGGTCTGAGCTCAGTCTTTACTTCCTCTTCACAGAGCCTTTCATCAGGAGACTCATGCTGCGCTGCTGAAGTCAGAAACTGTGGCCCTGACCACCAAAGCTCCTCTTCCTTCAGCCTGGTGACTGTCTGGCCCCTTGTAGTGAGATCGGCTGGGTTGAGTTTCCCACTGCAATGGGACCAGGTTTCCGCTGGGGTCAGGGTCTGAATCTCCATCACTCTGTTGGCAACAAACTGTTTCCATCTGTGCGGTGAACTGGAAATCCAGTGAATCACAATCATGGAGTCCGTCCACATTCAGATTTGGTTCGGCTGCATGTTCAGTGCTTGAAGCAGATTGTTTCCCATTCTCGCAGCAATCAGAGCCCCCATTAGTTCAAGGCGTGGCAATGTGAGTTTCTTAATGGGTGCGACTCTGGACTTGGACATGACCAGTCTTGTCATGGACTCACCTTCAGCTGTCTGTCCTTGGAGATAAGCCGCTGCCCCATACGCTTTCTCACTTGCATCACTGAAAACATGAAGAACTTGAGCTTGACTGTTTTGCAGCATGACAGTTCCATACCACCTGGGAATGACGATCTGATGGAACTGAAGGAGCTCCATACACCACTGCTGCCAGCTTTGTGAGAGATCATCTGGCAGCTCCTCGTCCCAGCTGATGCCTCTTTGCCACATGTCCTGAAAGAGACATTTTACTCTGATTGTGAATGGTGTCAGAAAGCCCATGGGGTCAAACAGCTTGGCTGAAGAGCGCAAGACGCTCCTCTTTGTGTTCTCTTTGTCCTTAAAAATGTCCATGAGGTGCTTCAGGTCAAAAACAAAGTCATCAGTCTCTGGCCTCCACACTAGGCCGAGCACCTTTAACACGCAGCCGCTTGTCTCAGGATTCATGGCGAAGTCAAAGTCACTTTGCTGCCACCTTGCTTTCAGTTCAGGTGAATTTGTTGTCCACTTACAGAGGTTCATGCTGGCGTCAGACATTATTTTCTTTGCACTTGTTGTCAACACGTGAGCCTCTTCAACACTGCTTGAGCTGGCAATAAAGTCATCAACATACAAGGAGTCTTTCAGAGTGTTAATGACCTGTGGATGACTTGCCTGGTATTTTTCTAGGTGCTTCCTGATTGTGGCTGCCAGCAAAAACGGACTTGAAGTCACACCAAACACCACACGAGCCATTCTCAGCACGCGCAGGTTTGTGTTCTTGTCATCAGGGCGTCCAGTGAGCCACAGGAACCTCAACACATCTCTGTCCTCTTCTGCGACGGATATCTGTAGGAAAGCCTTTGTGATGTCTGACGTGAATGCAATAGGGTGCAACCTGAACCTGACAAGGACGTTGAGGAGGTCTGGGTTCAGGTTTGGTCCAGGAAGCAGACAGTCATTAAGAGATGGACAGCCTTCCTCATGTGCAGAAGCGTCGAAGACGACCCTCAGCTTGGTCGTTGCTTTGTCCTCCTTTATCACAGCATGGTGAGGCAAGTAGTACTGGACGTAGATATTCTCTGCTCCAGCTGTGTCTTTGGTCTCTGGGACATCCTTGCATATTCCTTGTTGAAGATAGTCATCTATCACATCGTTGTATCTCTTGAACAGTGTCACATCAGCTTTCAGTTTTCTTTTCAGACCTTCAAATCTTTTCTGGGCAATTCTCAGGTTGTCTGGAAGCTCTGTTGTGTCCTGATGCCATGGCAACTTAACTTCATATCGCCCTTCTTTGCAGCTGACTGACCTGTTGAAGTGTTCTTGAGCCTCAGCGTCTGCTGCTCGTTCTTCACCTTTGCAGGAGATGCCCAGAGACTCTATTTCCCAGAATGCTCGCAGCTGTTTTGAAACCTGCATGGTCTCCTCAGTGCAGATCTTCATGCATGAAAGTTTCATCATGCTCAACATGGACACTGGGCCCTGCACAGTCCAGCCAAACATAGTCTCTATGGCAACTAAGGTGTCTGACAGTCTTTCAACTCTGCCAGAAACCATCTTTCAGTAGACATCAGCACCTATCAAGACGGACAGTTCCAGCTCCTGGTCAGTGCTGCCTGAGACATCTGCTGATGTCAGTCCTCTTCTTTCCAGCTGCTGCTGGATTTGCTCTCCTGGAACCTGCATGATGGCAGAGCTGACTTGCGGCGTCTCCACAGCCTCAATCTCAAGGGTTTTCTCCTTGTCACAGATGCTTTGCAGAATTAACTTCACAACGTTTCGTTCCATAGTCACTGGTGTGTCACTGCCAAAGGTGTGGAGCTTTAAAGTCTCTTTTCTCTTAACAGGTAATCCTAATGCCCTTGCCTGCTTCTCCAGGATAAAGCTCCGTTGACTTCCTCCGTCCATCAGACAACGCACCTTCTTCTTTCCTCGTATTCCCTCTGCCAATGCTGTTACTGTTTGCAGGAGAACTGTGTTCTGCTTTGCTGTGCTTGTCTTGACTGTGTGAGGGGCCACGGATGAAATGACAGCCAAAGTTGTTTCCGGAGCGCTGTTCTGGGTTTCACTCGTTTCAGCTTTTTCACACATCGTGGGGTGGTGTCTCCGTCCACACACACTGCATGTCACTCCCTTTGTTTTGCAGAATTTAGCCATGTGTCGCTGTCCTAAACATATGAAACACCGTCCCATTTTCTTCAGCTTTTCTTTTCGCAGGTTAAGTGTGTTGTCGGTACACAGTTCAGATTTATGACTTGTGCTGTCACAGAATATACAACCTGGAGGGGACTGTGAGCTGCTGGTGTAGAGCATGGCAGCTGACGGCAGACTTGGCTTCCTGAACTTTCCACTTGCTGATTCAGGTCTGTGTCTGTGCTGGTTAGGGGACTGCGATTCCTTGTTGTGGCTTCCTGCTTTGGTCAGGTGCATGGCATGCTCTCTGCTTTCAACTTCTTGCTGTAGAAAGGCAACGAGCTCTGGAATCTGCAGTTCATGGTTTGAGCCTACTTCACGCGTGTAAGCAAGAGCAAGGTCGTCTGGGATCATTTGCAGTAATATGGGGCACAGCAATCCTCCATATGTGTCTGACACTACTCCCATTGCTTCCAAGCCTCTGATCTGGACCTCACACTCATCATAAAGTCTTCTGAGAGCAACAATGTCTGAAGATCTTTTAACTGGTGTTAAGTTTAACAGTTTAGACATGTGTGAACTCACGATCAGGTCCTTTCTTCCAAATCTCTCTTTGAGCATGTCTATTGCAGCGTCGTAGTTGCTCTCCGTTATCTTTAACCCCGCGATGGCTCTGGCTGCTGGACCCACCAAATATGACTTCAGGTAAGTGAGCTTTTCAGTTTTGCTTAACTCACCATTCTCGTGGATTGCAGTCTGAAACTGGTCCCAGAATTCTTGCCACATCGATATATCTCCGCCATATTTATTGATGTACAACTTGGGCAACTTTACCGATGGTCTGCTGGTCATTCTGCTCGAGTGGGCGCCCACGTCGCTCAGCCGCGGCGACATCCCTCCGCCCGCGGCGGCTCCTTGTCTTTCAATCATTCTCATAGCTCGAGTCTTACAGAGGGTGAGGTTGTCCTGGTAATCCACAGCCTTGACGATATCCGCCTCGAGCTCGTCCATCGGTATCTCCTCTTCTATCTCCTTTTCCAGCTCCAGGAGACTCGCTTCCTTCACCGATAACATGGACAGCAGCTCTCGTATGCGTTCCCAACTCACATCCTCATTAGATGACTCATCTTCGATAGCCCGTATCAGCTTCGTCGTCGAGGCTCTCACAATACCTCGCCTTTGTTTTAGCCTCTGTAGCCGTTCCGTCATTGTCCCGGTTCCTGCCGTTGCTCGGCTAGTTGCAGCTATCGGCTAACTGTTCCGTCGTCACTCTTTCGTCTCCCGTGTCCCGGGTTTCGGCACCAAAAAATGTGGGAACTTAACTGTAACTTCCATAAAAATGAAGCAGGACTCCTCGATGTCGTTCCAGGGTTTTTACTGACGAAAACATGCATCCACGATACATCACATCGGCTACTAACTCACATCGGCTACTAACTGCCCGGGAAGATCTCTTGTTTTACTAACATGCAAATGAATGAGCGCCACCCCGTGGTCTCACACTGCAACACACCACATATCACACAACTGAATCCTGTATATACCCAATCCCACCCCCAACTGTATTTCCAACACCATTTGAACATCAATCATGAACTGAACCAAGGATACAACAAGAGATACCTTGCTTCAGTTGTTGGATGAAGACGAAAAAACACTCATATTTGATCTCCCCTTTGCACATCACCTTTTCAATTGATCCATTACTCATTTAGTTTGTTGTTAAAATTAGTTACAAAGGCCCAAATGACCAGAATCAATTCTGACCCTCAGTATTCCATTTAAAATGACATTAAGCGAAGAAACGTAGCAGCTCTTCACATTTGTGAAGCTGTAATTGATTGTAATTAATAAATGACTTGACAACTGAATAGACATATCAAGCTTAAAATTCATTACCCGACTAATAATTTTCAAACAGTTACTGTAGGTTTCGCTTTGTTTACAGGTATTAACACGTCAGAACCAAACGCTGTCGTCGTTGGACTCGCTCCTGATCACTTCAACTACCAAACACTCAACAAAGCTTTCAGGTGCTAAACTCATTTATAAGAAACATTCATCAGTGAATCACGAGACATGTTTGTCTATGATAAATTTTTATTTTTCAGTGAAGGTATGGGGGATTGAGCTGAGATGTTTTTCCATCAGGTCAAATGATGCAACAGTTGAAAAACCAAAATCAGCTTTTTAATTTACCTTTTTTTTTTTTTGATAATTTAACCTTTTAATAATCTTGCTTTTTGGGGGGGGGGGGTTTATGCCTTTATTGATGGTACAGTAGAGAGAGACAGGAAATGGGGAGGCAGAGAGAGGGGGAATGACATGCAGCAAGGGCCGTCCGATACGGGACTCGAACCGGGGACAACTGCAGCGAGGACTGTAGCCTCTATACATGGGGCGCCTGCTTAGACCACTACGCCACACGATGCCCCATAATCTTGCCTTTTAACCAGTAAAAGATACAGGATTATTGATAGAACGAACTTCCTGCCAAAGTCAGGCTCTTACCCTCTAAACTTTACAATGCTTAATTTCCTAGTTTTCCCCTGAATGTTTTTTTTGATACAGTCACTGCAGCCTGTTAATCATGTGCATTTCTCCTCAGAATGATTCTGGATGGAGCACCTCTCATCGCCATCCATAAGGCTCGGTACTACAAACGTAAGGATGGTTTGGCCCTTGGTCCTGGACCCTTTGTGACGGGACTGGAGTACGCCACAGACTGTAAAGCCACTGTGGTGGGAAAGCCAGAAAAGACTTTCTTCACACAGGTTAAAAATTCAATTTTACTTTGTTCACCTTTTCCCCCCAAGTACATGTCATGAATATTTCAGACACCTCATGATATGCTTCTATTATATTTGTTTTGTTTTTTTTAATTTAAATTATTTGTTTTAGTATGCATTGTCTAAATTAACACACTTGATTAACCTCTCATTGGTCTCTGGTTCTTTCCCTCAAATAGGCTCTATCTGATTTAGGCTGTAGCCCCAGTGAAGCTGTCATGATAGGAGATGTAAGTATATTTTCAACTGTGATTCATTAACAGCAAGTTCATTTAGTTAATTTTCAACATTTATCTGACAGACAACAGTAACAACTGTACATTTTATCACGTTGGTCTGTGATAGTTTGCGTCCCCTTGTTGTTTTCTTACAGGATGCAAGAGATGATGTGGGTGGGGCTCAGAACGCAGGGATGTTGGGTATTCTAGTCAGAACTGGTAAGAAAAAAGACATCTTCCTCAAGTTTATTCTCATCCCTCCACCAGCTTCACTTCCTCTTCCTGTCCCTACCTAAATTTACATGTTGCACAGTAACCAGAAATTATTCTTCCACTATCATGTCTTCGTTGTAACCACATATTCATGGTGCCTTTCATTGGATCTGATCTCATTATCTATGTACTAAACCAAATACGATGATTATTATTGCTGTTTTTGTGGTTGATGCCATTCCAACTTCTCCTCCTGCCATCTTTCAGGTAAATACAGAGAAGGAGATGAGAGTAAAATCAACCCTCCTCCCCACCTGACTTGTGACAGTTTTCCCGACGCTGTTGAACACATCCTGACGAACCTGCTATAAGCCACATGTAACAATAGAATTCTACAGTTTCATTTTTGTATACAGGCTTTGATATGCACAAGAAACACTGCAGGCACCGGTTATCACTGTTGTAGACTAGTGGTGTTTTTACAGTGGACATAAGGGAGTAAAAAGATTCCCCTCACCCCCTTGTCATGATTAAGTAAAAATACCCATCTTGAAGTTCTTAAGTTTGACTAACTGTCCCAATATTCTCTATGTAAAAAATGTCCATTTGAGTGTTAGACTGTCTCTTCTCTTTAGGTCTAAAATGTTGAAAATAAAAAGTAAAGCATGCGTTTTAGAAGTGCCAACCATCCGTTGCCAAAATAACGTGCCACAATGTTTTGTCGTTATATCATGATGTATAAATTTAAGTTTGAATGAAAATATTCAGCTGGTATTTATTGTTTAATATTTTTTGTGCTTATGCTCATCGTACAGATCAACAAAATTAAGAAAGACAGTATTAAAATTAGTAACACTGGCTCAGGACCTTTGTATTTACACATTATTTCAGTATTTTGCTGCTTTGTCTTAAGTTTCTCTTTTTCCTCAGTGTCAAATATGAAGTCATAATGTTGACACACAAAGTACTGGTGCATACAATGTTTCTGAAAGGCTTTAAGCTGTCAGACCAGTTCTGTCCCAACCTACAGTTCCAGGTTTGTAATATGTGACACATGTCCAAAGCTTAAAAAACATAGGCCAAAAGAGAGCATAATATTGCAACTCTTGCTATAGCTCCCACTAAGTGTAACATTAATTGCAGTAGGTGAATTTGTATGCAGTAAAAAAAAATCTCATCCAGATATGTTGCAGTGTTAGTGTGAAAGTCTTTTTCTTCATGTCTGTTTATTCTTCAGTCTTCAGACAGACTCGTACTCTCTCTCCCAGGCTGTGTATCTGTCCATCAAGTTTCGGGCTGAGGGTTTGGTGTGTGCGAGGACTTCCAGGAAGTCAGCTGTTGTCACAGTTTCCAGTTGGATGGCTGGCAAGTCAGTGTCTTCTGTGAAGGAAAATGACAGTGAGGCTACAGTGTTTTATTTAGGGACACTTACAGAAGACATGGCTGTTGTGGGAGTTGATCTCCTTTTGTGGATTTAGGTCCTCTATTCATTTGGCAAATGTATGTAGTCCTACCATCCTGATGTGACTCCAGAGCATCAAAGATCTTGCGGACTGGTCTCATGGCAGCCTCTTTACACACCAATCTGATATCAGAGCCAGAGTAACCCTCCATGCCCTGAAACACACACACAAAAACACAGGCAGATAAGGCCTAACTCAGAGCCAGTGTATTGTGATTATATATTCTTTCTCCTCAGGGGCAACAAGACGGATTTGAAAAAGTTACCCCAAACATGAAAATACTCATATTAATGACAAAGTGCAGCAGATAAATGATTATAAATGAATGAAACATTTAGGCTTAGGGTTAGTTAGTTATCTCAAAATCACACTGTAACACACTTTTGCCAGGGTTTCATAGTCCAACTCAGTTCGTAGCTCCACTCCTCCTGTGGAGTTGAGAGGAGGCAGCCAATGAGAGATCATAGCCTGGCGAGCAGGTGACTGTGGAAGACTCACTAGAATCCTCTTCTCTAACCTCCTCAGCATGGCGTGGTCCAATTCCCTGAGAGGAGAGGACTAGTAACAAATCTGTACAGACAGCAGTTCACTACGTTATCATTTTATATGCTCTCTAAATACCATTACTGTCTTCTTCACAATTTGCATTTTTTAAATTGTAAAAATTAAGTTCCTGTTTGAGGATTGAAGAAAGGAAAATAGTCATTTTCTTTTAACTTGTTTCTTTATGCATTTATATTTGAAGTAGATTCTCAGTGGCTGCAAATTAAGCATCCTTTTGAAGTGGTGTTGGTGTTTTTGAACTGCAGATGTTACAACGATAATGGCATGTTTTTGTTTCAGGAAATTTCCAAGTGTGTGAGACAATACAGAAATATTAATTGGTTGTCATTATCATTATGAAATATAAATTCAAGTAGTATGTGTTTATGCTAAGTATTACCAAGGCAGGTTGGAGGCAGCCAGTACAAACACCAGGTCTTCTGATTTCGCCAGTCCGTCCATCTGAACCAGCAGCTCTGTCTTCATCCTGCGACTGCCCTCATGCTCTCCTCTGAAAACAGACATCAGTCCACTATACTATACTAGTGCACAATAACTATAGGGTCAACTCTGTGGGAGAAACAGTGTTGGTACAGTATTCTAGCAGCGCTGGTAAAACTGGTAAAACTCCCATATCTGCATTTACCACACTGTGGTTCAGCTCACCCCATGCTGGTTCCTCTCTGGCCCATCACTGACTCCAGCTCATCCAGGAAGATGGTGGATGGGGCGTGGTACCTGGCCAGCTCAAACAGGACCTACAGAAATATATATACATAGATTTACACACATCCAAACAAAAAAAGTACAGGAGACTGTGTAAACTTGTTTTTTTTCTTATTTGTTGTATTTGATCTGTTTTATGTGTTGAACAGCAACCTACCCTGACCAGTTTCTCAGAGTCTCCCCTCCACTTGCTGACGATGCTAGAGGCTGAGATGTTGAAGAAGGTCGTCTTACATTCTGTGGCCACGGCCTTGGCCAGAAGCGTCTTACCTGTGCCTGTGTGTATGTGAGCCAGATGGTCACAAGACTACATGTCAGGTAAATTTCCAAAATGTTGGACCTAAAATTCTTTGTAGTAGGACACAGTGAACAGCAAGAAAACAACATGTTTTTCCTCCTTCAGGGAACCTGAAGAAGGAATACAGCACTGGAGGTCTTACCTGGGGGGCCATAGAGCAGCAAGCCCTTCCATGGAGACAGAATGCCTGTAAACAGTTGTGGGTACTGTAAAGACGGAGGAGGGGAAGATAAAAGGGACAGAGGGGGGAGAATAAATTTAGTAAAGGAAAGAAAAAAGGCAGAGAAGGCAGGAAAAGAGGGGGTCATAAGTGAGTGCAGTGAGTGAATCTATGAAAATGACAACAGCATAGACACAAACCTTTAGCAAATCATCTTATATTTCAATATAAAAAGCATTTATAGCTCTGAAATTATTACCAACTTCTAGCAACGTAACATGTATTTCCATTTTCTGCAGACCATTAAGAAGCTGAGCTGTGTGCAAAGGAAACAGATTAGGCTGATGTATGGCTGAATCAGTGCTGCAAATACAACATATCACAAATCAGTTTGAATTTTAGGTGGCAAACAGGGGCTGACTCAAATCACCTAACTGACCTTATACCTCAGAGAATGAATAATAATGGAGACAGAAGTTAGGGATTGTGGGAAGGTGGGGGAACGGTGTTATTCAATAAAACAGGCCAACAGAAGAGAAGATAGACACATCCGTCCTCATCTCCGTCTGTAAATGTCAAGAGGATGCAGACAACCTGATTTGTTGTCATCATATCCATGAGAGAGGTCTGGGTGATGATGATAGAAGTGTGTGTATGTATTTTCTGTCTGTGTACTAATGTGGTTGCATGCCTGCTTTTATTTGTTTGAGAATTTTCTGTATGCAGAGGCAAATGTGTGTTAATGTAGCTACGTATATAAATTCTTCATGGCATTCCATGTGCGTTTGCTTCCCTCCCTGCCTATCTATCCATCTGTGTATGTGTGTTACCATATTATTCCAGATATAGATTTAATGTCAGCCTAACAAACTGGCCTGACCCCGCTGCCCTCCTTCTCTTTAAGCCCTTTAAAGGAGATGTATTCAGAATCGAAGATGGGTGACCGGTGCTGAAATACCAGCGTGCTTGGGCAGCGGACGCACCTTAATGGGATAGACGACGGCCTCTTTGACTAATCGCTTGGCGTCCTCCAGGCCGACAATGTCCTCCCATCGCACGTTGGGGCTGTGCAAATAGATGTCCTTTAGGGGTGAACACACACACAAACACACAGAGTGAAGGATTGCATGTGGAAGATATCAGCTGGAAATGGACACACACACACCTCTTGGTGCGATTAGGCTTGCGTAAATAGGTGTCCTTTAGAATGAAACATCAGATAAGGGAAATAGATCGAACCTGGGCCTTCATTAATACAACAGATCGATTCATTCACAACAAAGCTCTCACTGCTCTCTAGTGGACATATTTGGTATCATTAAAATCACTTAAAGGATACTTTCACATTTTTAGAATATAGTCAGCTCCTTTACAAGTTTGTTTTTGTTCAGTGTATACTGTATAGCCTTTGAGTGTGTGCAGTACCCTGCTGATGATTGCAGCCAGTTCTGTCATTTCACCACTCATTCCAGAAAAGCCACTGAGGGGCTTCAGCAGCCGTTCCTGCAAAAACAACATAAAAAAAGTTTTTGAGTATTTTGCGCCATTTAAAAAAAACAAAAACTAAAAAAAACAGATGGTTACAGATGGTTTTATCTGCTCATCATGAGGATCGTTACTATTTTTGTTTTTGCAGTGTTGTTCAGACACTCCAGTGTAATTACCATGTGGTCTGAGTCAATGCCAGATCCTTTGACAGCATCCTGGATTAAACCCTTACCATCAGTCACCTGTCCCTAAAACAGAAAATACATGATTTTCTGACACATGTAGGTGAACACAGGCATAATAAGAACAAAACAGACACTAGCGATTCAGTTTCAAATTGTAATTTGAAATAAAAAGAGGAATGGTCTTCTATTTATGAGAGATTTGGAAGCAGGAGATACAAATACAATTTTTAGTGAAACAATAAAACAATAAAAAATGTGGGTGATCATGGTGAAAAACCATAGCATTAATAATGTCTGAAATCCAAATAAAGAAATATCTTTTAAAAATAACCATCAATAACTTCCCCAGTACCTTCCTGATTGTGGCTACTTCCCCTGCTGGTCCATTTTTAATGGAGGAAACACTGAGACCAAACTCTGATGACTCTGAAGGAACAGACGAACCATTCTCCTGGGAGATGATACGCAGTCATCAGGATGTAAGAATAATCACTTTTTATCTTATATACTTATTTTGGTTGTTTTGTTATGTGCTTAATGCTGTATATGTGTATTTACACTGGCGGCTGCCTTCTTTGCTCCGTTTCCAGACTGTGGCCTCTGGGACGGATTGATTTTGGGAAGAGGCTTTACAGCTGAACAAGGACTCCTGAGGGACAAAGAGAGACACAGATATACCATCAGCATGAAGGACAAGGTACGACTATTATGTTTTGAACATAAAATAAAATAAAGGTGTGAGAGCTGTACATTCTTACCTCTTTACTCCACCTTTTGCAATTCTGTTTTCACCTTGACCAGAAAAAAACAGAAATACAACAGACAATGAAGACAAACTATCACTGAGAATTAACAAGCACATCCCAATAATTCAAAATTTAGCAGCAAATTTGTCCCATTGAGTATGTTGCTCAGTGATTTAGTAGTGGTCATATACCTGGTTCTACTGTTCTTCTGATAAGTTTGGGATATTTCTGGAACTTGACATAGTGATAACTCTCATACTCCATCAGCACCATCTCCAGATCGATGTTATCGCAAACCTCGAACTTCCTCACACCTCCATTTGTCTCCTGGTCCAAGGCCACTGCTGCTGCCACATAGCTGGTGGACAGGCATACATGCACACACATTGTAAAGATCAAAAAAGAAACACAACCAACTATTTCTGCTTTGTCTTGTGTCTTGTGTGCCTAAGGAATCCAACATGATTTTGTTTGTTTTGTCTATTAATTGCATGTATCTATACTTTCTGTGTATACACACACAGAGACAAACTTCCTTCCAGCCATCTGTAGGCTTGTTACTACACATCCAATACAAATTGGCAAAACCTTTATATTAATGTTACTCACACACCTGCTGCGTCAGCAATGTGTGTTACAGTAATTGCAAATAGACCCAGAAATGTAAATATTTCATACTTGTTCTCTCACTTGCAACTGTAACAACTGCAACAAAGACCAGATCCACCTCACATATCATGAAGTTGCTGCTGTTATACTTCATACTGACCCTTGCCCCAGCAGGTGGTGGTAGATGAGGATGAGAAGGCTCTTCCTCCTCATTTCAGTCCTCAGCTCATCCTGTTGGACAACATCACACAGCATGCTTCATCACAGAGACTCAGAAGCAGCTCAAATTTAAAGCTTGGTTCAATCAGGGTGTGATATTATCTGTTTGAAAATAACTTATAACAAGTACTCTTGTCATTATCAATATTATTAGAATTAGGTCGTTTTCACAGCAGACATTTTGACTTGTCATAGTAGGAAAAGCATGTGTCACTAATAACATTAACTTTCCTATTTTAGTGTCCCAGTATATTTGATTTAGTAGAAGTGCTGTTGCCCGATATTTTGGAAAGGCAAGAAAATAAGAGACTAGTCTGCTGTTACAGTGAAATCAGAAAAGTTTTTTTTTCTTTATTTTCACAGCCAGCACCAGTGTAATTAATAACACTTGTGTTTAACGAATCAATATGTCTGCTGCGAAAAAGGGCTGAAGCCCAGTACTTGAAGACAGTAGTATAGTATAGTAGTACTACAGTACTTGAGTATTACAGTAGCTTACACTTTTCCTACAAGTGTGGAGAGCGTCGTTGCGGTGTCTAACCCTAACTGGGAAGTAGACGGAGACAAGTTGCCAGTAGAGGGAGACAAATTGCCACTAATGACAACCACCTGACTTGGTATCTAGGCAACCAGTGGACGCTGAGTATTTGTGTCTCTAGCTGCATGCAAAACTAGCCTGATTAGCTCAACGGCTAGCTGCTTACTGTTTAGTTGTGACAGTTTAGCTGCTGTTTGCTGCATGACATAAAGTGTAAAGCACACTGACTTGGCAGTGGATACATTTATTAATCAGTATGACGTTACATGTCATATGGGACAAGTAACGTCTTCTCTAATTCTGCCATAAGCTTTCATGACCCAGTTAGCTAAAAGTTGTCAACTTACCAGCAGTTGTCCGTCAAATCTGCTTGAAAATACAAAAAAAAATTAAAGCCATTATACACTCACCGCCTCCCGGGCTTGATGAGCAATTTTCATGGATTGATATGAAAGCTCCATCATGATTCTGAAAGATTAGTGAGACAGCAAGTCTGGCAGTTTTCGTTTGATGGTTGGTTGTTCTTCTTAGTCTATTCCCTTTGTTTTTATATGGGGACTTACGCTGTCCCGTCAGGGCTTCCGTTCTTAACAGGTGTACATTTTCCCTGTATGTGTGTATGAATACCACACAGTGTATAAAAAAAGGTTGAATACAAATACCGAAAAAAGGACTAAATACTGCTTAACAATGACAATGCCACAGAACCACAGAGCTGCCAAAATTATATAATAATATTAAGATTATATTTCTTAGACAAAAAAACTTTTTTCTGAAAATGTACACAATTTCCTCTGAAATCATAAGAGTAATTAAATGAAATAGTTTATCATATCCATAATTACAAAGCCAAAGATATTTATAAGTGAAAGAAAAGAAAATGACCATGAGATGTTGACAGCTCTGGCAAAAACCTCTAGTTATTTTTTTTCCTTTCAAAGAAAAATAGTTTATGAGAGTAGTAATTAGAACAGATAAGTCTTAATAAACTACAATTAAATAACAATAACTTTTCTGGCTGTATTTTACTCACAGCATTGTAAATCAGAGCACATTTCCATTTCCTTTTCTTGCATAATGACAAAGAGAATATTGCACTGTTGTTGTAATCCTATTTCAGTTTCACTTCTTTGTAGTCACAAATATTGCTGTCAGTGGAGAATTCACTTCAACCTACTTTGGAGCTCATGTCTTGCCCCTGTTGAGGTTATGTAAAAAGATTTTTATCTTATCAAATGTGTGTGATGTGATACTAAATATGAGCAGTAGAGAGCAGTAAAGAGCTATGTTGTGAGTAAATTGGAGCCTCAATGAAGCCCTAGGGGTTCTATCCATTTCCCAGATCAGATGTTTCATTCTAATGGACACCTATTTACGTGAGCCTAGTTGACAAGGCTGTGTGTCACTGGTTTTCCATCTGTGTGATTGCGAATCTTGTTTTGTTTATTGATACGTTTATTTTGGTTGTCTGATTGAATGTGCATGTGTGTAATTTTTGGGAGTGGTTTTTCCATGTATGCATCCTATGTAATATTTTCTACTTACATCCCAAACTCTGTGTGTGTGTGTGTGTGTGTGTGTGTGTGTGTGTGTGTGTGTGTGTGTGTGTGTGTGTGTGTGTGTGTGTGTGCGCGCCGCACCCCACCCCTAAATGATATATTTGCACAGTCCCAACATGTGGTGGGAGGATATCATCAGCCTGGAAGAAGCCAGGCAATTAGTCAAAGAGGCCGTCGTCTATCCCATTAAGGTGTGGCTGCTTCCTGAGCACGCTGGTATTTCAGCACCAGCCGCCTGTCTTCGATTCTGAATACATCTCCTTTAAAGGGCTTAAAGAGGAGGGCAGCGGGGTCGGGCCAGTTTGTTAAGCTGACATTAAATCCATATCTTGGGTAATATGGTAACACACATGCACAGATGGATTGATAGGCAGGGAGCAGGAACATTACAGAATGGCACGTGTGATGGTATGTAGAACGTGTACACAAACATTAACTTTCACACACACATAAAAACAGACATAAGCTAACACACACCCACATGAAATACACACACTTCTATCATCATCACCTAGTCCTCTCCCATGGATATGATGACAACAGATCAGGTTGTCTGCATCCTCTTGACATTTACAGACGGAGATGAGGATGGATGTGTCCTTCTCTTCTGTTGGCCTGTTTTACTGAATAACACCATCCCTCCACCTTCCCACAATCCCTATTCTCATCTCCAACCTCATCTTCTGTTTTTTTCCAGAGTATAAGGTCAATTTCGTGATTTCACTCACCTTCTGTTTACCTGCTAAAGATTATCCCTAATGTTTGTTTTTGTTTGTTTTGTAAGGCAAGGGCAAAGGTGATGAATTACATGCTGTGATAATAGTTCACTGAAAAGCAATACTGTGATTATAGGCTCCTGTTTTTTACTTACAGCATTGTGGTAACATGTGGTCCCCATGGCAGCAGTTGACCTCTACATGCCAGTGGTGCTATGGCTACAGTGGAAGTTCAGTACAGGTGAGTTCTTTTAGATTGATCTTGATGAAAATGTATGCAATAATAATTAAAACAGTCTTGTATCATTTTCCTTCAAAAACATTTATTTCTTCTGGCACTGTCAGTTTTCACCTTACAGTAAATTGCACATCTGCACATCAGCATTTAAGGTACAGTAACAGGTGTTCTGTCCATCTTTCAGTTTCTTTTACTGTATATTTTCACTCCCATGGAAACCCTGTGTGGTCATTGATGGGTTCAGGCATCAGTCCGAGAATAAGGCTGTTTTATCTGGAAATGGGAGATACAGCAGCAGTGATTTGTTTTTACAGTACAATTTCACTAAGAAGATTTCCAGATGGATTTTCTGCTCAGTACTATATTAAAATGTGGAACTGTAGAGGACAAGGTCTGTGGATAGTGCTTTGTTTTTGCCCTGTGGGGCTAGTGCAAAGAAACTGTAGCCATGTAGATTAGTCAAAATCATTCAAGTTTATCTCTACAGTTACATTTTCAAAAAAGATATTGTGCCAAGTCTATTTAATATCATAAAACCAGTTTTTGAATGAGGTCATTTTACAAATTTGATCCATCCAATTAAATGAATGAATGAAATATGTACAATTACAGTATAACACAGCAGAGGTCTAAGTTACTAAAGTTTGTGGTGTAAGTTTTTGCATTATAGTTTAAAAAAAAAGTCTAGGTTTACAAATATAATTAGACTTAACTGATAACTTCTATAGAAGGTTTGGGAGGGAAAAAAAACAGGATTTGACCCTTACGGATTGAGATAAAAATGTTGGGATTGTAAAATGAAAGAAAAAGGAGAAACGTGAAAATTGCTCCACTGAAATAAATGTATTGCTGCACAGTAGATCTGAAATAGTTGAGAACAACTATAATCATTAAAAACACTGCTGTCTCTGAGCTGGTACGGATCTGAAAATGGCTCATATTTGGCCAAGATGGGACATTACACACACATCATCCAGGCAGGTTTCTTCAACATATCACCCCATCAACATTTTCTAAAAATATATAGTACCAACACATCAGTGAGGCAGATCTTCGTAAAGCTAGATTCAAACAAGTTCCTCATTTACTGAGAATCCACATGCATATAAATATGAAATGAGTATTAACTAAGAAAACAGTGGCTTTGGCATTTCATTATATATTTTGTGTTTGTTTTACAAGCCAAATTAAGCATTGCATATTCGTTTTTAAAGTATTTCCTTGGTCCCCAAATGTGCAACAACAACCAGTTTGAACTTATATTTTCTGATATTTAGTTATTTGTAAATGTTGTTGGCTGCTGAAAAAGTTAAACCTGGTTACATTTATTGCCTTATTTTTCTCAGAAGAATCTCAGATTTGGCAGGAGTAGTTGTAAGGTCTTTAGGCCTCAATTCCTTAAACTGGATCCTAAATTGGATAATGTCTATTTTCATGGGTACCTGACTATTTAGGCAGTTTGTGCTCTCTTGGGAATGCTTATTGTGTGGATTAAGATGTTGAGTATCACTGAGGGACTATGTGATGGCTTAGATTCAGAATGATATGTTCTCAGGTGGTATTGATTGAGTAGTACAGCAAATTGACATCACAGAGTAAATGTTAAGACTACTAGTTGAGGTGGAGTCGAACACCTTCTTTTGTGAAGCCTTTATGAGGGGAGAGAACTTGAATGATGACGGGATCAGCTGTGCTGGAGCAAACTTGCATTGTCTACAATTTCAGGTAAAAATTCTTTAATATTTGAACTTGGAATTATTCTGCACAGATTTCACCCCATGCTAGATTTTAGTGGTCAGGGGTAAAATGGCATGACAAGGCGAACTTCTGATGTCCATGTGCAGGTCTCCGAGCCTCAACCATGCCTCAGAAAACTCCAGCGTCTGTAAGTAGTGTACCAGCCTCCAGCAGCAGACCCTTGACGTAAACACGTACAGTGTAGAACATTGTGAGGAAGTCCTGGGTGCTGAACAGGGTGTCAGCCAGAGCAAATCCCAGCGTGGAGGGAATGAAACCTCTGCCATATTCAACCATCCATGTCCCTGCGCTCCATTGGACTGACGTTGCCTCACCTACACCGTGTACGATGGTGTCACCTGTGGTGTGACAAAAGACAGAAAAAATACACTGGCTGTTTCTGTCATTCAGATACATTTACCCCAATAATTAAATAGTCAAACATTTATATAAAAACACAACAATTCAGATTAACAATGATTAAGGTATTACCAGGGTAGTAAGTTTCACTCTTGGTTGTCCCCTCTTTCCACTGTCTGAAGGTGCCAGAGATGATGGTGTCAGAAATCTCAGCCCAGTAACGACCTGGCAGAAGCACAAAGTGGACATAAAGTTAAATTTATATAGTTTTCTACACAGATTGGTCACAAAATCCTATGAAAAGAACAAGGGGATCTACATTACACCTGCCAAGAAAAAGACATTTTTTTCCATCATAGCATGACAACAACAGAAGTTGTTGAATTCAAAATTAAAGTTTCCCCACAACTGATCTTCATTTCATTTTGATTTATTTTGACTTTTAACCCCCTGCTTCCTCACCTGAGTGTCCTCCTGTGTCCACTGCAGTACCAAACAGCAGCAAGTACTCTGTAAGCGAAGCATGGAGCAGACACATGGAGCCCATCCAACCTCCAGCATTCACAAACACCCACTGGAGGTCCTCATCTGGCAGGATGTGGCCAGGATATCTAATTCAATCACACTTTGTTAGCTGTTTTTTTTGTGACACAACACAGCTTAAAACATTCATCTAGTGACCAAACAATACATAGACACATCATATCGATTACTGAAACACTGCCTAAGGAAGAGTGATGAATGATTATCTCCACCAATCACAGTCCAGATGAAGTCAAGGGTTCCAGCAAGGGATTAAGTGCAAAGACGCAGAGCTGTTGTCTGCTTCAGTTTGTAAAACTGAGCTGGTTCCTACAAGACCTTTCGAATAAATCGCTGATCTGCAAGTAGTGCTGAAAGGATTCGTCGATCAACAATTCTGATAACTGATTAATCATTTAGGGTATTGATCAAGCAAAAACTGCTGAATATTCACTTGGCCCAGCTTCAGAAATGTGAGGAATTGGTGGCATTTACGAAGAGTCAAAGAATTACACAAGGATGCTCTAAAGTACCAAATTAAGACTAAGAAAGTTCTTTGCTTAGTGTGAGCAATAAGACATTTATCAGGTGGTGTCCTCCTACTTACAGGGGAGTGTAAAAGTAACTTTTAAAAGAAATTCAAGTGATCACATGTCTGCTCAGAGAAGGAATAGCCAATCAGAGGCACAGTTTTGCCTACATCTGTCATACTTTACATTGTTTTAAAAAACATTAATTTTTCTAATATGTGCAAAATCTTGCACAAATGAACAACAATCTAGTATTTTTTTGAATGTACAAATAGGGATGAAACAATAGGAAATGAACTGCAATGGAAACAAAATTCTCCTGCAGGACATTCTGCTGTTGGTAGATGAGGTACATCAGAGAGATCATATGATAAGGAGAATTTAGAAACACACTGACAAATGCAGACAATGAAGATGCTAGACAGTGATTCCAATTAAAACCAATGTTAGATGTATTTTTGTTGTTCATTTGAACCCCTAATAAAGGCACAAAAGAGGAAAAAGTGGTATAGCATCCAAACAAATGTTCAAAAGCAAATAACAAACTAAATATACTCTATTCTTAATTAGACTGCTTCAGCTTATGTATTAGTATTGTTATTACTGGAAAAAACTCATCTAGGATCCAGTTGTAACAACCTCTGGAGCTCTCTCACATTTAAGATAATTTGTCAGGAAAAAGTGTCAACAACAGCATAAGTTTTTGAGAAGCTGTAAAGGGGAGGATTTTTACTTTTGTCTTTCACACAAGTCCAATATTTTACTTTTAGCAGGTTTGGTAAACAGGGGCCCAGTTATACAATACCTCATATCACCTGACTATAAACAGGGGCTGAACTGAACATACTATAACAGTCTAATGCTGGAAGTCATGGTAAGTCAAGTGCCAGAATACGGGTCAATCACAATTCTGATACACATTTCTTAGTTGAAGCTAATCAAGTGTTCATATCAAATTATGATTATGAAAGTTGTATTAGTTGCAGCTCTGAGTGTTTCCATAATAGTAAGTGTCCTCCTTCTAGTGCAAAACAATGCAACTGTTACCTCTTCCTGAGCTCCACCACCACTTTAGAGAAGGCCTGCTCATGGTCCTGCCCTGAGAATAGAGACATTTACAGTAAATATAGAGGGCTCGGACGAGTGTTTATTCATTATTATATTTTACGAAAGTGACCTACAGGGTGGTCTTGACTCAGTTTAGACATAAGACTCGTCATAACCAAACTCACCTGCGTACTGTTTGGCCAATTTGGCGACGTCTTCTTTGTTGAAAACGTACTGCTTGGTGGCCATCCAGTGCCGCAGCAGCAGCACGGCTAGGACGGTGACTACGGCGAACACAAACAGTCTTAAACTCGTTTTGACGACAGACATGGCTGAAACAACACGTAGGGACAGAGACACAGCAGCAGGTCTGACTACATGTGCACACGGGGGAAGACAGGTTACTCCAAACACGCCATCGGCAGAGGAGGCGTGGAGTCCAGCTGACAGCTTCTTCCTGCTCAGGTGGGGGCGGGATGTGGCTGATGGGCCAATCACAAGCCGAGTTTGTCGTGTCGGCAACAGCGAGTCCTGGGTTGCCAGCACACTGTAAAACCCTCTTTAGGTGGTTTTGATTTATTGCGCATATTCATATGAAAAAGATTAACGCACAAAGATACATTTTAAGACACCTTATTTAAAACGAAGATTTAAATTTCATGTTATTATTAGTTGGTCGTTTTTACCCATACTTTTGGTATAAGTAGCTATATATAGGTTTGTAATCACATGTAGAGTACATATAGGTTTGTCTAACTCTTTCTCTGTCTTTTCTTCCCCTCTCGTTCACCACAAGAACCATAGGGAAATTCAATGGAGCCTGAAGAATCCATGCAATGAGACAGTATCCTCACCCTGTGTCTCAGTTCACTGAGGTTTTAAAAGCCTTACCCTGTTTCTTATTTTTAATGAGCCAAACATTAAGCTTCCAAATGGTAAGTGAATTTCTCACATATTTTTTTGTTGTTAGCATCTTTAGTGATGGTAAGGTTGCTTCTGCTGACCTGAGCTAACCATTTTTTACCCCTTTGTGGTGTAGATTATAGGTAAGGACAACAAAGAGGAAAGGGCACAAACTAATTAACATGTTATTCATGTTTCTGAGTTTATTAGAAATGTAATGAAAGTTAATGACATTAATTCATGACAATCATTGATAGTCACCCATTGGTCTCCCTCTGTCCTATCTGAAAGTCACTGCTGTATAAATATCGTAAACCAATTAATTAACTGACTATTTATTACCAAAAATTGCAGTTCTGTGTCTCTGTATTTACGTTTTCAAATTCCCCGCTATGAACTTCCGGGATCTATGAATCACGTGACGATAAAGCATTTTGGACCTGCGCCGATGCGACTCTCTCGTTGCATGGCTCTAGTAATAGCTACCTAAAGTTCAGAGAGAGCTAACACAGAGGTAACAACACGGCCGAAATGAGCGGAAAAGAAGTCAGTTTTGATCCTAAAGGTATGGAGTTTTATCACCAAAGTTGAGGAGGAGTAGCTGCAGCAGATACTGTTAACGTTTGTGCAAAGGTAGTAATTCCAAACTCCATTTAAAGTCTGGCAGTTTTACTTTACCTTGCTGAACTTCAAAATACACACGAACAGACAATTTGCAAATAAGTAGGATACACTGTTGAACTCTGCTCGGATTCATTACTCTACCGAGCATTTCCATCGATATTGGCAGTCTCTAGAATTACTATTCCATTACCCTACATTAAAACGTATCACACTTGTAACCAAATGATTAAAAATGAACAATATTGCGAACCAAAGTGATGCTTCGTGGAATTTTTACCAGCCAAATTTACTGGTAGGTCAAAGCAATTCATAAAATGTCTTTAGCTATATTTTACAATGAGGTAGATTTGTTTGATACTAGAGCAATGGTAAATTAGCATATTTTTCAACCGAATTTGGTCTCGTTGAGTTTCCATGTAAACGAGATTGTATATTTTTGGGTAGGCTAATACTGATTTCAGGCATACTGAAATCAGTATGTTTTGTGATGTCAACTCAGTGTGCCCACTGACACAATGTAATGATAAAGCTAATTTGTCAGGCTGAACTGACAGGTTGCTCATTGCTTTACATTAGTACACAGCCAGCTGTGAGGCCTCGTGACTTGAGTTCCTGTTGCTTACTACAATGAATCCTGAAGAATCTACAGGCACTTAACCCATTTGTTCCTGAATACGTTTGGATGTGTTGCTTATGTGTAACAAGGAGTATATTATTCTTTTTGACATTGGATAGACTAAATGATTTATTGTTTTGTAAAATATAATTTTTAAAATGATATGTTAATAGATAATTGAAATAATAATTAATTGAAGTCATACTTGGCATCATTCAACAAGACACATAAGTAATTCCATCTAGCTGTTAGCACTACAAATAGCATGATTAGGTCGGTTTTTGGATATCAAGAGAACCAGCACTCTCTGTAAGCATGTGTGTTTAATTGAATTGCCTTGTCTTATTGCATATATCATATACCTCAGAACATCAGCACCTGCGTTATAACCCTCTGCGGGACAGCTGGGTCCTGGTGTCGGCCCACCGCATGAAGAGACCCTGGGCAGGTCAGGTAGAAAAACCTCCTGAGGAGCACATTCCCAGATATGACCCCCACAATCCACTCTGTCCTGGCAACACACGTGCAAATGGAGAGGTAAGACTAAGTCGATATAATAAATGAGCAGATGTGTACTTAGGCCTACATTACACTGGGAATGACAGTTAGTTTGGTAATGGTTAGCTACCAAACAACATATGTTGCCTTATTAATGGTATTCAATTTGGACAACACAATGAATGTGGAATTTCAATCCCCTTTTTGTCTGTTTGTCTGTCTGTCTCCGTCCCTCCAGGTAAATCCAGACTATGACAGTACTTTTGTTTTTGGAAATGATTTCCCTGCTCTTCAGCCAGATGCTCCAGATCCAGGTGAGTGCAATTTCTAATACTGTAAAAGTACTAATAACAAGTCATTACTTCTCGTAATGGGAAATTAATGACTAGTTGCTATATTTATGTAAGAATTAAACCCAATTTTTGTTTGCATAGTCCATACTTCCACTTCACTACACATTGACTTCTTTGCTTGCTGCATTTATATATGTGATTATTCAGTTTTTTGTTATTTAGCATGCATGTGTAGAGCATTTTTCTGCTTAAATTGAATAATTTGAGGAGTATTTTGTTTACATTTTGGCACAAAATATTTTATTTTGAGATAACTTCAAGCCCAATAAACTGCTCAGTCAAAATTACAAAGCAAATAAAGTGTTGAAAGTGCACAGTCACACATTATTACTTTTTGAAACAACTCACATTTCCTGTTTCTTCCTCAGGTCCGCCTCAGCACCCATTGTTCCAGTCTAAAGCTGCCAGGGGTGTCTGGTAAGAACAAAGCTCGATGTCACAGACAGACATACTGTACAGTACTTGAACAGTTCATGTGAATTCTCTCGTTCTCGTTGTATAAAAAGTTTGTGCGTTATTTATTGAAACATGATGAGGGACTGACAATGAAGGGTAATTACAACTTCAGATATCAAACAACATATATGTTTGATGTTGTGCCTGATCCTTTACCAATAAATACAATACCAATAATACAATCGTTTTAATGACACATATAGTAAAGAAATGTACAGTGAATATATAATGTGACATGTAATATGATATAATATAAATTAGTATATTAGGTTAGAATTTATTAAGGGATGTATCTTAATGAATGATACTATTATTTTCATTACTTGTTGCGGTTGTCATCATCATAATCAGCTCTTTGGTGAAGCTCACTTTGTTAATCAACACACTGCATGCCACTTGTTTAATGGATGTCTTCGTGCAAAACAAAATAACAAACACACAGTAATACATACATTAAGATGTGTGTTTCCAATGTGCCACCAGCAGATGGGGGTGTTTCACTCTAATAAAAACTTCAGAAAGATGTTACGATGACATAGATTTCAGTGCAGTGATATTTACCCCAGAAGCCGTATATTGGTAAGCAGGGAATAAGAGCTTTACCTGTGGTCAGATCTTGCATATCTTTATTCCTGGGAGTATGCTGTATTAAGTCATGAACGTGAAATGTTTCGAACCAGCCTTCTGATCTACAATTCTACAATTCTGATGCACAATAATCAGTAGTGTGACACGCACAGCAGAGAGCTGAGTAGCTTAAAACCATTGCAAATTCTCAGCCTGTAGTGTAGATTTTTTTTTCTTTAAAGACACACAACTGAATAATATATTTCAACTGAATGGAATCAATGTACATCAAGGAAAACCCAAGAAAGACAACACATTTACTACTCATGACTACCAGAACAATTACAGGAGCGACAACAAAAACATTTTTAACAACACTTTAACATCAATAAAAAAATAAATACAACTTCCTCAAGTTTCAGAGTACTGCAGCACCTGTTACCTGCCTAATGTGTACATGCTTTCCGCTGCTTTTCTCTCTGTCTTATGTGTTTTACAGTAAGGTCATGTGCTTCCATCCCTGGTCTGACATCACCCTCCCTCTCATGAAAATAGAAGAGGTTGTTAAGGTGATTGACAAGTGGACAGAGCTTGTTGCAGAGCTTGGCACTACCTACCCCTGGGTTCAGGTATGTGCTACACACACACACACACACACACACACACACACACACATTCCTAATCACATTCACACACACATTCCTAATCACATTATGCACATTATGATTTAATTTTTCCCAGGGCTGGATACTTGTAAAATTGTAAGAGGTAAACTTTTCACCCTGTGCTCCAGCGTCACTGATCATCCAGTTTTCTGTGCTTTCCAATTTTTCATTTTAATACCTCTCTTATTGGATTAGTTGAAACTTTAATGATGCCTCTAGGCAGACTCGCAAATTCAAACTGTAGCAGCAGAGAGAGAAGGATATGGATAAGATAAGATGTCAAAGTTTATACAGCTAGCATTGAAGCGTTTCCTATATCGCATGCAGAGAATATGACAGCAAATGAAGATACTGCATTTTGCTGGTCGATTTAGAGGTTAATGGCTGATGTACATCTCCATGTACATTAATAGGTGTATGCACACTGAAGCTAGGAAAATTACAGCTTTTCCGTCAGCTCAGTGTGTTGGATATCCTCATGAGCCATTACTGTGAGAAGACACAACCTACAGCCATAAAATTACAGTTTGAGGAATCATTAACAAATTGTTGCACTATAGTTGCTGAGTTTAAAAAAAGGGTTTCATCCATTTTCTTTTGTGTTTTATTAAAGAGACAATTAAACCGAAGGATTGTATTATGCAAATTGATCAAATAGTCAATCACAGAATACTAGCCTATATATTCCAACACAGTCTACACAGTAATTCAACAAGTGTGTGCTTTGTAAAGGATTGACATTTTTAGATCATGTTTACAGGTCAACCTAGGATAAAAAAGTTTTCTCTAACTCATATTCTAAACCAGGGGATCAGTAAAATGTCATATTTGCAAAGGATGAAAGGGACTAAAGTTGGGACTAAGTTGCCCTCTTATTTTCTGTTTTCAGATATTTGAGAATAAAGGAGCCATGATGGGTTGTTCAAATCCACATCCTCACTGTCAGGTAGGAAATGCACGTACACATGCAAGCTGTTCTTTTGACTTCTACATATGTGCAAACACATCACCCCTTTTTTTGCTACATTATTCCAACCTTGTCTGGATTTTGAGTGATTTCAGCTCCACCTGTTAAAATATGTTTGTACTTTTGCACAATACAATCTGTCACTTTGGTCCAATTTGCACATCTGGCTTTTCAGATTCACTGTGACAATGACGTTGACATGTGTTAAAAAGTTTTTGAGCCAGGCGTGTCTCAACATAGAAGCTGTTAATTGACTCTTTGTTTTAAAATCATCAGTGAATGTGTGTTTATGTTATTTCCTCCTTTATTGCTTTTTATAGACAGTCACACTTATATCACTGCTCAGGCGTTTTCTTGTCTTTTCGTGTTTGTCCATTCGGTAAGGTGATTCAAGCAAGACTGACAACTCGGAAAGACAGAGACGTTTCTTGTTAGACTATTACCTCAGAGTGTGATGCTGAGAAACAGCACAATCAGGAGGGAGAACGACAAAAACAGAAGGATGGTTAGTTGAGGCAGACAAAGTGATATATTGAATTTCCAATATTGTCAGAATAATATGTTATCCAAGCAAATAAAGATGACTTTTTGGCCACAGATGCCACTCTGAATGAGGCTATTATACCAAATTTAACTGTATTTATGATCAGAATATTACTGACTGAGCAAAATGTAAACAAATTTCATTGTGATAGAGATGGAAAAATATGTTAAACAGATGAAAACCACTTTCAGTCCTTTTGAGAATATAGCCTGTCTCATTCATGCTAAAGACAGCGCTCAAACAAGAGCTGATGGTTTTTATTGAGTGCTTTTTGAAAATGTTCAAAGGAATAGTTTGAGATTTTTGGAAATAAGCTTTTGCGCTCTTTCGCTGACAATTACATAAGAAGATCTATACCATATTTCTCATATTTGTCCCGTAAATATGAAGCTGTAACCAGCAGCTGGTTAGCTTAGCGCAACATAAAGACTGAAAGCAGGGGCAAATAGCTAAGATGATGCCTATCAAAGCTCACTAATTAATGGGGTATATCTTGTTCCCAACATGTTGAACTATTCCTTTAAGAATACTGTCTTGATTATTCACTGCCGTCCACGCTGCTGCTTTTAATATCAAACAGAAAAGATGCTCCTAATGACAGTTGTGTTGCACATTACAAAAACATAATGGATATTTGAAATGGAAAAGTTACAAAAGTTTAATGTCATTTTGATGAGGAGCTCATTGAAGGAGTTATTGTAACTTAATAGCTGCTGTTACACAGTACAGCAGCTGACTGCATTTAGTCGCTGATGTTCCTCTTTTCTGGTTAATCTATGACATTTCAAATCCAGGGAAACCTCAAGCTTTTGGGGTAAAATAAATAATTGACTCTCTACAGACAGACAGATAGAGCAAAGAAATCCAAGTAAGCTTGTGTTTCTAAGTTTTCTGAGACTGTGATATAGAAATGAACAGCAGAGGGCAGTATGTGACCTCAGAATAACACTATCATAAATCTGCCATCACGGATCTTTTTCCTTGCCAAGGGCTGTTATTTATTTGTTTCTTCAGAAAGTTGCTTCAAACACATTCAGCTTCATGTTTTTGATGGTTTAAAAGCCCAAAAATATATATTTTCAGGTGCTGACATAGTCTTGTGAACTTGTATAAGTGTTACCAGATCAAAAAATATCTGTGTTGTTTTCGTGTGGTCCAGTATAAAAGAACTCAAAATCAAACCTGGATCCGGCCTTTGATGGAGCTTTTTAAAAGTTTTAGCGGTTTTGTTTCATATTTCCTGCAGTCCAGATTTCCCTTTCTTACAACATCAAAGTCCAAGAGAGGAGTAGTGTTAATGTGTGCCTGTCTGTGAGTACAGCCAGGCAAACCCTCAAGGCCAAAACGTATGAAGCATAGATCTAAAACTTTGAAGAATAACGAACAGAAAATGTTAATCATGTTCTGGAGGCAGTGTTGCTTCTGATAACTTTGGTCTCAGAGGAATGGAGTTGTATGTATTTTCATGTAAGTGAAGGAGGGAAACTTATGCCTCTGGAATAGAAATATCCTTTTTTTTATATAAGCAGCCCAAAGTATATACAGTATTAATTCTGTGAAGTGCAGAGAATGTGTTTGAAAACATTTGCCTCTCAGGAGCAGACGGTTATCGAGTTCATACTTACACCCTAACTACGTATTTCACTGTTGAAGAGCACTTGGATGCTGAATTTAAAAGCGGAGATGGTGTCATAATAGCTGTTAAGAGTAATACTTGTCATTTTCAGAAGTTCTCTCTGATAGGAATAGAGTGTATTATCTTTACTTCTTTCTACTTTTCTCTGTGAATCAGCAGTCTGCTGCTGGAAAGGAGATAGATCTGTGTATACAAAAAAACAGGTGTTCAAATAGACCCAGAGCTACAGATGTTGGCAGGCGTGCAGATACTATTAAAAATGCGTGGAGGCTTGCAGATGTAGAATATTGACGCATATTCACACAGTTCACACAGTGTTTGTATCTTTGTCTTTCCAGGATCATGATTATAAACATGGCACAGCCTTTAGCCAATATTCAAAACCATTAATATTAACATTACGCTAATCTGATTGTTTACTGTCATTGCAGCAATTGTGTACAGAATCTTACCAAGGCTTAAGGCAAAACTACCAGGAAACATTACTAATTCCCAGCTTTTTTTCAACAATTATCTGATTGCAGTTGCTTTACTACATACTAAGTATTATTCATGAATCTAAACAGAGGAGGATACAACTGCATTATATGACACGTGCCCGTGAGGCAAGGCCAGCAGGACACTTATAAACTGCCTCAAAATAAAAAAATGATGAAGGTGCTAATCATCAAGAGGACCCTTGTTACATTCCCCATGAAGTTAATGCAGCTTATTTTTCCCTTTTCCTTTTATAGCAGCCTATGACAGTGGGATTCCTGCACTGCATTCTGGGTGAGAAGAGGAGTGTTTAATCAGAAAACAATTTGCCATGCAGCCTGAAGCAGTGCTGCTCAAAGCAGCAGAGAATGCCTCTGATTATTACTCTGTTCATGATGCGATGGAATGTAATAATTGGAAAAACTACTCTTGGTGGCACAAATATGTTCCTTTCAGTAAAACTATACTGTAAAAGGCCTAGAATCTCTCTAGAAATCAAAACAAAGCAGTTTGCAGCAATTCCTAACCTGGACAGCTTGCACAAATTATGACAAGAAACCCATCTGTAGGCCACATACACACATATTTATACTCCTCAGTGCAGCCATCACTAATCAATATTTTGGTGAAGGTCTGACGCTCAGAGCATGAATATACATTGCATAATTTCATACTCTGGGTGCCACTTTTGACAAACCAATATGTAAACACCCCAGTCATTTGGCAGTCTTTGCCTGTTTTTATGTCCATTAAAATACCATAAAGTGCAAAATAAATTATTTTAATGCCTGTCGTGATGTTCACTGTAGACCATAAAAAGCGTTCTGAAATGCCGTAGAAGTACATTATGAAGCTAATTTTGCAGCCTAAAAGTGTTTACTCCAAAACATGATTTAAAATGGGCTGCAGTGCTGTTTGTCGAGGTGAGTGACACAGATGAATGGTTTCCACAAATTAAATGACCTACAGTATCTTGTCTGTTTTTTGGCATCAAACGTTTATTGTTTCAGGGATGTTTACTTCCTCAGTCACAGTTAATACCATTGTCTCATGTTGTGTGAATAGTGTGTGGTACAGAATGCCAGTTGGTGGCTGATGAGAGCAAAGATTGAACAATGTGTTTGTCTCAGTTAGACATCAAAACAGCAGCTTTGAACTTGTAAATCTTTTTTTTTTTTTTTTATAGATGTTATTAACCACAATCAGGACGCTGATTTTGTCAGTGCGTGTGTGTTTCTGTCTCTATGGGCACGTTAAATGTCGCTCTGACATTTACAGTTTGTTAACTGTAGCTGAATCAGTTGTTGTGTTGGTTTAATAAACAGTTTCACACTGATTGCTACAGCTATATTTTGGTGTGACTTTAATGTTGTGCACAACAGAATTATTGAGAGTATTTGTTTTTGTAATTGTAAATGAGATCAACACCCTTTTTTAAAGTGTTTTACTTTGTATCTGGTAGAGATGTGACTGAGGGGAGAAAGTGGCAGACTTACAGTACATTAAGGGATTTACTGAGTAAATGAATCAGAGAACTGCTGGACAGAGTGAGGACAGTGGACAGACTGAGTGTGTTCACTAGTATCCATGTTGTGATCGGGTTTTTGGAGCTTCCTGCTCATGTTTTGTACATGTGAACATCATATCCCAATTTTAGAAAACTGGATACACTACCTCGAGAACTTGATATGGTTAGAAATCAAGACGCGGCTGCAATCGCATGATCAGAAACCTGGATACTGTTATGATCATGTAAACAGGGATTTGAAATAACCAGGTTTTTCATGATCCATTTAAACCCCATATTCCAAATATGATCAAAAATAGGATACTCGTGCAGATGTAAATGCACAATAGACATGCATTGATAAATAAATTCAGAGTATGCATGTCCAATGAATTTTATTTTAATCCAAGAGCTACTATATGCTTAAAGCCCTGAAAACTGAAGTCTGAATAACATTTAATATTCATAAGTAATAATACTCAAAAAACTAAGCTGCTTCCTAATGGTTAGACTTGATTGACACTTGCATGGCAACATAAGCAAATAGCCCCAAAAACCTCAGCAAATGTTGGTAGTTGCGATTTATATACAGAAGCACATAACATCACCTTTTTTCAGCAGAGACTCGCCTTCACTTCAGACCAGTGACCTGAGCACTTGGCAAAACACAAAATACAGAAAATGTCTCATGTGAAATCAGCACAACTGTTCCAAGTTTGACAGATGATTTGTGTTCATCTACTGTAGTTTATCTAGTGTAGTGGGTCTACTGACCCTACACATATTTTTAAGGCCATTTATGCTTGTACATGAAACCAACCTGATGTTGTTCACTGTGATGAATTACCCATCTCAATTACATTTTAGTGTCTGCAGGTTGATTTTCACAGTGTACTGAAATAAATGAAAGTGGTGGCTGCAGCAGAAAACCCATTTATCAATCTAAAAAGCCTGAAAGAGAAAAATAAAAGTGAGTTTTGAAACCCAAAAATCTCAGCATCTGTGAAATATTTATTTGAGTGGTGTTGTTATATAACCTCATCAAATCACAGGTATAATGTGACCATTTGGAATCAGGGCGGTGGGAAAAAGTTGACAGGTTCTTTTAATTTTCTAAATAAAGTGCAGTATTACTGTACATAACTCTTAACTTTATAGATAGATTCTAGAGGTTTTTGTCATGTCTCATCATCAACTTCCTCCATCTTCCTCCTGTTCCCTGTGACATTATAGGTGTGGGCCAGCAACTTCCTGCCTAATGAGCCGGCTCTGTCAGACCGCTGTCAGAGAGCGTACTATCAGAAACATGGAGAGCCGCTGCTGCTGCAGTACGCCAAGCAAGAGGCTGAGAAAAAGGTACAGCACATACACATACAAACACACCGGCAAATGATACTTCAAAAGGAATTTTAAAGATAGATTTTACCCTCAGAAAGTCGTAATTTACTTCTCTTCCAGTCTCATTAAGTCCAACTTGAGTTTGGGTTCACCTAAATACCTTTCAACAATCGCTTAGAGAAGGCAGTTTTCCCCCTTGTTGTGGGAGAAAACAGACAATTTGCAGCAATTAGGGTAATACAGTGAATAAACCTTAAGATACGCAACAAACCTGGGCCCAGATACAGTAAATGAATAATGGGTAATACGTGATTTAAAAGGTATGTATGAATAAATTAACTACTTAGTTTGAATTACCTCACTGAAATTTGGATTTGATGAACATGGGTAATATCAGTAATATAATCAGTGATAAAGAGAACATCAAATTCATTTTAGATAATTATATGTTTGTGGTTTATAATAAACATCAGAGGAACAGTGGCATCATATTTTTCTCACTGTGATTGCCCTCATTGCCTCTCCCCACATCCATCTACTTCCACCCTTTCCTGCCATGTTTCCCACTCTTTCTCTTACTTCATCATTCTCTCTTTTTCCCATCAGCATCCTCTGCCTGTCTTTCAGTCAGTGAACCGTGTGATTGGACAGCAGAGATGCTAATTAGCATAATGCTGCAGCATACATCTTCAACCTGCGTGAAGGAAAACCAACTTTGTGTGTGTGTGTGTGTGTGTTTGGGTGTGGGTGTGTGTGTTTTTTTGAGTGGTTCTCCAGTCATGTGTGTGAAGGTTCAATAACAGTAAAAAAAAGACAGGGTCTGAGCACATTTACCATGCTGGCAAATGTCTTATTAGTAAGCAGACATTTAGTGGAAACCATGAACTTTCTGCAGGAGAATTAAACTTGACAGAGCCATAAATTTTTTTTCTCTGTGCCTGAAGCTGTAGGAAGATGTCTTACTTATGCTACTTAATTATTTAATATACTTAATCTCAGGTTATATTCACAGCTAAAACCCCTTGTTGAAACTGGCTTCATGTGTGTTTATCCAGTGAGAAGCCAATAAAATGTGCTGCCAGTTTATCTAATGAGATTAACAGGAAGCACTTTGTCACCTTACTTTTTAGGTGACCTCTAAACCTCTAAATCGTCCTTGAGTTTAAGTAGTAATGAACAGATTTTTGTTATTGCGGTTATACAGCAATAATTTGATGCCAGTTTTTTTCACCAGGGCCGGAGGCATTGTGTTCCGTTCTCATGTCTGTATGGTAAATATGTAGCTAGAGCCAGCAGCTGTTTAGCTTAGCTCAGCATTAATACTGGAAATGGGGGGGTAAACGGCTAGCCTGGCATTGTCCAAAGGTAACAAAATCCACTTACAAACATGTTATATCTGTTTGTGGTTATCTTGGCCAGGATTGGAGACTCCATTCTGTTTAATACAACAAGATGCAATCTGTTAATAATTAAGCTATAGAGGTGCTGGTACAGTGTTGTAGTCGAGCCACTAAAACTAGGAATAAAAGTCTGAGTCCACATCTCGAACTTCTGAGTCCGAAAGCAGTCAATGCTCAAGTTGAGTCCTGAAAATCAGGTTGTACTTGAGTCTTAGTCCTGGACTCGAGCACTAAAACACTGTGCTGGTATGCAGATTTCCTACCCTGTGGACAGAGTCAGATTAGCAGTTGCCCTGTGTTTCCACTCTGTATGTTAAGCTAAGCTAACTTGTGGCGGGCTGGAGCTTCATATTTACCGCACAGACATGAGAGTTGTATTGATATTTTTACCAAACCCTCAGCAAGAAAGCGAAGACAAGTTTTCCCCAAAATGGTGGACTGTTTCTTCAAAACACAGAGTTGGTATTGATCCACTCATCAGACATTGGTTAGGGTTATCAATGTATCAAACATCATCTCAATGTCATTTTACATTTGATATGCAGAGTTAAGCATTCATATTGTTAGAAAACATAACCGTGATTTAAAAAAATGTATTGTAAGACCAAGGAATATCCCATTTCAGACGTTTGGACCAAATAAGACCTAGAACTTTCTACACACGAAGCTGAAATCCACTTGGGGACTATCTCAATAGGAGGGTTTTTCTACTTTTTCTCCTCCTGAGTTCAAGCTGATTCTTTGAGTGTCTATAGAAAAAGTATTTCACTCCTCTTCAAGAATAGTTGGAGGCAGAGAATGGGCTTGATTAGCAAGTATAAAATTAACCGAAAAGAGTTGAAGCACAAAGTAAGACAGAGGCAGAGGGGTAAGATGAAAAGGGAAGGAGAGAGAGCAAAAGAAGGAGACGAAGGGATGGAGAGAGACAAGTAAAGACGGAAACAAAGACACAAAGTCAGAGAGAGAGAGAGAGAGAAAGAGATGTGGAGGTAAGAAGGAAAGGGAAATCAGAGAACCACTGATTCATTCAGGGAATGAGCTGATACCTGTTCTACAGGGAGTGTGTGTGTGTGTGTGCGTGCATGCGTGCGTGTGTGTGGGTGTGAGAGAATAGCATTAAGGTTTTGAGAAGAGCAGAGTAGACACTTAGAATCTCCTAGACAGCTGCTCATGGGGACTGACCTTTATAAAATCAGAGTGGGAGCAGAAGTGTGTGTCTGTTTGGAAGAATACCTTAAACTACTTGGTCCTGTCCGTTAGTGCATTTTTGTGTGTGTGTGTTTGTGTGTGTGTGTGCGTGTGTGTGTGCGTGTGTGTGTGTGTGTGTGTGTGTGTGTGTGTGTGTGTGTGTGTGTGTGTGTGTGTGTGTGTGTGTGTGTGCGCGCGCACACACATGCACGTGTGTGTGCGCGCGCGTGCACGTGTGCTTGTATTTTTGCTCCTGTCTGTCTGACCCAAGGTTAGGACCGTAAATTGGCACACTGCAGTGTCTGGAGGAGTTTGAATTGGGGTTCGGGCTCCCAGGTGACACACTTGACTTTGAAACAAAAACTTTCTAAAGCTAATTGAATGAAAAAACTGCAGGATTTGCCTCGTGTGAGGTGTGTGTTTTATGGACATCCAACACTTGCTTCCTCTCTCTCTGTTCACCCCACTCCTCCTCAATCTTTCCTCTCCATCCATGTTCTCTCTTATTTATCTTCATTCTCCTCTATAATACTGTTAAAGGCAGAGGAGCACAAAGCTGAAACCTTCACCAGAATAAAAATGGTAAAATCTTTGTCTTTAAGTAAAAATAATGGATCCGATCAATAATGCATAACCACCTAAAATGTTGTTCACAGTGGTGTCACTAAATACTTTGCAGATACACATAATATTTATGCCTTTTCATCCCATTTTCCTTCCTCAAAATATCCTATTTGTTGAAAGGGAGGCATTAGTCAAAGTGTTATTGTACCAGGCACTAAGTAGAATTCTATACTGCAAGTGCAGTTCATTAAGAGAACTGAACACTTTGGGATTCTTTTAGATTACTCTCTGTTTTCCTCCACAGTTATTAAACAGCACAGCATTCCCTGTAGATTCCTTAATTATGCACTAATGCCTTGCTGGACAAGTTTGTTCAAACCTCTGGGAGATTATAGCCCTGGATGCTCTTACTCTTTCTGCTTTGTCTGATTACAGATGATCAGATTGTTTTACTATTTTTCATACTATTGACACAGCGCAAGAATATTAAATACAATTGTCTGACATACCATAAAAATGCAAGGTTAAGACAAAAAAATGTAATAAAATAAAAAATAAGAAAATCAGAGGAAAGAGTGAAAGAAAGAATGAGAGAAAAAAAGTAGAGCCATCTAAAACAAAATCTGTTTTATATTTAAATGATGTGCAGGTATCCAGGCTAAGAGAGGAATTTGTTTTGACATCTTGACAGATAAAGCAGTGACTCATCATTCAACAGTACAATGCTTTGTAGACATAGTATGTAAAGCCAAATAGCATCTTGAAAAATATGTGGAAATATGTGCCAGTGGATTTTTGGAACAACTCCAGTTCTGAGCCCAGCACCATGAGTGTTGGCAGAAGGATTCCCAGTATATACTTTCTGTTGGTTATACATGTAAAATTCACAAATTTTAGAGAGTTGTGATCCCAAGGATTAAATGGTGTGAGATGACAGTGGTAAATGCCTCTGGCCCTGCACACCAGCACAAGTGGTTTCAGTCATTGTGGCAAGTTATGCCTCTGTTCAGGTTGTGTTTGATTGAGCTGAAATGCTGATATTACATTATTTAAAGGGGCTATTTGTAAGTTTTGCTATTGCTACATAGCCAATGTTAGCATTAACAGTTCTTACCAGTCTAGAAGAATGTTTTGATGTTCCGCATGAAACTTCATTCCTTTACTCACCAAGAGCTGTCTCCAGAGATGGAAAGCAACACCAATGTTAACTTTTGTCTCTATGATGTCTTTTCTTCTACTGAAGTTAGCACGCTAACCAGCTAGCGGCTCACTGTAGCCTCCAGTCTGATGTAGTGCTGCTCAGAGGGCGTATTATAACCTCTTGTTTTATAAAGACAACAATGGCTGAAGTTCTTGTCAAGCGACAATCAGCACCAACTGCTCTTGGCAAGAAATTATGTTTGGTGGAAGAGAAAACCTACAAATAGCCCCTTTAAGTAACTTGATTAACTGTCAGGACTGTGTGTTTTGTATGCTTGTTTTAGAGTTCCTCTCTCTCAAATGGCCAAAAAAAAAAAATCAATTAATACAGTGCATCATATGCTCTAATTATAACTGATGGGAGTTGTGTTAGGAAATATATAATAACAGTTAAAAAAAAGTGCTAGGAGTGCTGCTTGAGTGTGGAAAAAAAGTGTCGCTCTGGTGCTCTTCAGTGTGGGGATCTAAATCATTCTAGATTCTTGGCAAATTCTTGGACCTATCATGTTACAACTTCTCTGTCCATTCTGATCATATGACTAATGCTACTTTATAAATGGAAGAAGCCAAAGGTGGCCATTTTATACTTGAAGGCCTAATGGCTGAAATGCATACGGATGTTTTTATTGTTATAATGAAGCCATGAGGAAATAAAGACTTTATAATCACCACCCTCTTGAGTGCCTCAGATTTTGCCAAGAATCTATAATAACTATAATAACAGTTATTGTATGATATTATATGTTAAAATGCGCACACACACACAAAAAAACACACACACACACTCTAACATAGAGCTAATCTATTTCTAATGGATTGTAATACTAAGGTTAGGTCGTGTTTGTGCCCGCTCATCAGCTTGTTAAATCTCAGCTTCTGCCACTTTCTGCATTTAAACAGTTTATGATAATAAGGCTTCTTGCTGCAAACAGCCAATCTTGACTGACCTGTATTATTACCATTTTAAACTCAGTGAAAACCTGATCAGTCAACCTTTGCTCTGTCTTTTTGATTCTGGGTCCATAAGCCAAAAGCAGTCTGATCAAGTTAATTCGTACTGTCTTTCTTTATTTGTATATGCATGTCACTTCTAACATTAGGTGGGTAAATGTGAAGTACGGTTTGTTCATCAGCATGTTCAATCACCATTCATCTGTAAAACAGCTTACATTGTCGCACAGTAATTACGTGCAACAAACAGCTGACATATGCTGGATTGTATTGTCTATAGGATATCTGTCAGACAGAGCAGAGCTAAATAGAGAAGGATTGTAAAAAAGCAAAATGTGAAAAGGAGGAACAAAATCATGAAATGAGAAAAGCTGAGACAAGTCAAGCAGTAGCATATTGTGAGATCAGCTGTCCTCTGTAATCTACTGGTGGATAAATTGACTGTTAAAATGCTTCAACTGTTTTTGAAAAATTTAAATTCACAGAGGAGATGTGTTCAAGGAGCTCAACCAATTGAATGATGATTGGCATAGATGCCCAAGATTCAGGTTCACTGGCTCCAATTGGTTTCAACAAGCTGGTGTGGTATATTGCCATATTAAAACAATTATGCATAATTTTTTAAAACCATACAATGTTTGAGATGAATTGAGTGAATCACACTGCTGCACCAGAGTATAAAGTTGGATTTTTATGTCATCTGCATTTTGAATGATGTTCGCTTCCTTCTGGAACAGATCCCAAAAGTTCTGGTTTCTTTTCAGCATTGTGTTTTAGGCTTAGTTGGAAAGAAAAAAATCACAATTAAGAATAAAATCTATAAACATGTGGTATTACTTCCCCTGACACTCAAAAACATTGTCATTTCTCTTAGGAGCGTGTGGTGGTGGAGAGTTCTCGTTGGCTGGCGGTGGTTCCATATTGGGCAACGTGGCCCTACCAGATGCTGCTGTTACCACGACGACACATCCTCAGACTCGGCGACCTGACAGCAGATGAGAGGGAGGGTGAGTGTGTGTGGTTGTGCAAAGATACTGACCAAGTGAGTGACTAAGAGAAAAACAAGGCAATTTTGAGTTGTCTAAGGTGAGTCAGTAGCTCAGTGGGGAGGCTGCAGGTTTGATTCCCACTCAGGGCGCCTTGGGGAGGAGGAATCACTTTATTTTAGACCAACAGTGAACTTTCAGTTCATGGAGTGGTGCTTATAGTGTTTGAATAAAAGAAATTGAAAATGAATCCAGTCAGATCTAAAGACTAATGAAATTTAACATATATTTGTATCCCTGTCAGCCCTCCCAATTTTATAGAATTTATAAAACCATAAAAACGCACCTTGATAGTTAAAAAAAATGATTATTTTGTTCAGTTCCCTCTTTTCCTACAGTATGGGGTTTAAATCACTCTGACAGATGTTATTCTCAGAAAATTAATTCTCTTAAAATTGAGACGATCTAGTAAGGTAACCCATTCTCCTTCAAGAACATACACCACTGCCTCTGCAAATTAACTACGGACTCACTTGGAAGACCTACTGTATGTTGACAGTTGAGACTGTTTAGCAGACTGATCTTGTGTAAAGTCAAGATGTGGAGCCTAAGGCACATAGAAAAGAAGCATCAGTGGGTTGGTGTCTTCTGAGACACAGCCCATCAGCGCTATTTCACTCTAAACATGGGAGAGGCATCAGCTCTGAAAAACAAATCAAAATCAGCTCCTGTGGTCGGCAGATTCCAGAAAGGATGTTGTTTTTGTGGTCTGAACCAACTTCTGATCCAGCACTTCAAGTCATTTCATACCGTGGAGTCACAACTTGTGCCAGTAGTTTGCCTGCAGCCAGCAGAGCAGCAGGTTGATTTGTTGATGCTAGTGCCTGATGCCTAAAATGATGACTTAATTACCATTAAGAGTTTGCTCAATCAAGGAGGTATTTAACCGATTACGTGCAAAGTTGGCACAACAGTACTTATGTATCCCAGAGACACTTGTTCCTATGGGTATTTTCAGTAGGTTTTCTACCATACATAAATCGTCATGCATGGTTTCATGGACCATGACGCTCAATTGGGTTTGGGCATTTGTCAAATCATCAACACTTTGAGTAATTATTTGGTTATTTTATTACATTTTATCTGCATTATTCAATTTTATTATTTTTTTTATTTATGACTGAAATAATGTACTACTATGTTAATTTAATTGATAATTCAAATAACTATGGTAGATCTGTCTAGGGTTTGTGTGTAACAGAGAAACTTGTGTGCGTGTTTATGTAACTACAGTATGCACATTGTTTTTTTTGGTCTGTCTGACTTTTTCATCATATATTCAGGTGTTTCTTTTATATTTCATTCCCCCTCAAGATGAATGAAAGTTTTATCTTCTTTTCAATTTCCAACTTTTCCAGCCGTATAGTCTTCGCTCAGTTTTCAGTTTCTGTTTTTCAGGTTTCACCCTTACATGGACTTTCTTCAGCTCCCCTTCCTCAAGTCATTCATTATTAACAATACTCAATAACGAATATCATCTTGCTTCCTCCACTTTTGTATTGTTTTTTTTTCTTTTCACTTTATCTCTTTCTGTCTCTCTCTCTTTGTCAGATCTGGCAGACATTATGAAGCGACTGCTGACCAAGTATGACAATCTGTTTGAAGTCTCTTTCCCCTACTCCATGGGCTGGCACGGTAAGACAAAAAGTGGGAGAATAGGAGGGTTGAAAAAAAACAAAAAAGTTTTGGTTTAAATGTGGTAACCTGTTTAAAGTCTCCTCTGTAGAGTGACAGACGGAGTGAGGGACAGATGGGGGAAAAGATTAAAGATAATTTCAGTCTAAATACATGACAATCTGCGGATTGGTGGTGCATTGGAACCCAAGAGCACAGCTACAAACTGGGGGCTATTCACATATCACGCCGGCTGTAAGCTAGTGCTCTTAGTCAATTTGATATGTGAATGAGCTTCGCTGACAGTAGTCTGGAGGCAGTGTGCTCTTCTGTGACCGTAATTTGCAAGAGTCGGTGATGAAATATGTGAAATCGAGTCTTTTCACAGTCAGGATTGTAAAATACTCCTAAACAGGAATGACAAGCGATAAAGAGGGAAGACATGCATTAAAATGTTGTCACACATCACCTGAAGTTTTTATGACAGCTTGACACCCTGCAGGTTTTTAATACTCTAAATACATTCCACCTCCACATCTTCATGTCAAGCAACAGAAAAGATGCCACCTCCTGCTTTTCTCTTTGCACCTCTTGTGTTCCTCGCTTTCCGTTGCCCATTCCCTCCCTCCATCTCGTCACACTATTCCCTTTCTTTATCCTCTCTTTAACTCTGTTGCCATCCTTCCATCCTTTTCTCATTCCTTTTGTCCTTGAAGTCAATTTTCACTCTGTATTATGCTGGTAACAACATAAGATCAATATAATTTTACACACAGAGGGGTTCTCCTCTCATCTTCCACCATCGTCTTGTCTCATCAGTCAGTATGCTCCAATCTTTTCTGTCCAATGTAATTTTATATTAGCTCACATCATGCACCAACATGGCATTAATATCGCATATGAATATTGATTGTCCAATGTCACAGGAAAGAACTCGTTCTCTACAGGTTAGAAAGCTCTCGCTGCATTAGCATCATCTCTGCTGGAATAAACTGGCAAACAAGAAACTCTCAGCTTTAATGCCACTCTCTCATTACCCCTTCAGCCCACACTCATACACATCAGAATACTTAATGTTGTGTCTCCTATAGAAAGCCAGAGTTCTCACAGGAAAAGAGCACTCATGGTGTAATTCAGTTAAAGTAGGATGGGGAGACAGGAAAGCTGCACAGCGTTCGTCTTTTCGATATTTAAATGAGAGACTGGTCAAGGACTCTTAGAAAGCGACACTGACTGAACAGGAACCTGTAAATAGTAACATTAAATTACATTTTATGTCATAACTTGAACTCTGAAAAAGGCTGCATTTAAACACTCTGAATACATGCATGCAGATTTTTTGCATAATGTCACCATTATAAAATAATTTTTGGCTCCATTACGTTTGCATCACAGCAAAACACCACAGGTCAGAGGAAAAGTAGCCGTAATGAGACAGAGAGCAAGTGAATGAGCAAGCACACATGCAAAAACCCTGGATGCTTGTCACCTTTGCAACAAGCGCCAAATTACTTTTTCATTTTGACAGAACACGCAGAGTGATAAACACATTTGCATAGATCTCAGACAATAACATCCAAAATAAATCTATTTTGAAATAACTTGCATCACATCAGTCAAGATGTGGATGTGAATCTTCTCTCACTGACGGCCTGACGAGCATTTAATTGGCCTGTTGTGAACGTGAAGAGGCAATTTGCTCAGACACACACAAGGCTGTAAGCTTTAGACAGAAAGGTGTTTGACATCCAGGCAGCTGTCCCTCGTGTGAATCTAAAGCTCAGCACTGACATTTTCTGATAGTTACCTGCACTGAGACAGTGAGGGGAAAAACCTTTTTTTTTTTTTTTCTTCGTTGAGCGATGTCACTGAAACACCTTTTGGCCGGTTCAAAGTGGGATGAAGGTTCAGCAGAGTGCGGTGATGCGATGAGTGATTTGTGACAGAAAGGAGAGCGGTGTCATCATGGCTGAGCGGTCAGAGTGATCCTTATAGAGGCTGAAGGTTGCAGGTTCAATCCCGGCTGCAGCTGCATCCTGCCGAGTTGTTTTAGACAAAGGAAACCTCACTGCTGCGTGAACTAGAGGAAAATTCAAGATAACATAAGTACATGCCTGTTTTTCTGACAGAATGGTTTTAACGATTTTCAAAAACAGGGACACTGATCTTTGGTAATGTTCTTTAGAACAAATTTTTTTTTCCTCCTCTATTGTTTTGTCCCTTTTCTTACTTTCTCCAAATTAATATATATTTTGTAATATACATATTTCTTTCACTTTTCATAAGTAGCCTCAGGCCAAAGCCATCCGCATATTGTCCGACTAATAAGAACTCACCATGAGGTTGAAATAAATCTTGTTTAATTGAGTCCACGGCTCCACAGACAGAAAGTAACTCATCAAAATTTAAGATGTTGAAGAGAGACAATTTTCAAGCCATGATTATATCCTCTCATCTATTTCAGAGAATGAAGATCTGTATCTTTTTTGAACACACTATACCCGGGTCGCTGACCTGCTGCTGTCAGTCTGTTGCTGCTTTTTCATGCTCAGAGCAAGGCAGCCCACATGAAAGATAGTTTATAAAAAGAGAGATGATACACTCTCCCCCAAACTGTAGTGCGGAGAGAAGGACAGAGGGCAGGAGAGGACACAGTCATCGACTCACTTTCTTCTTTTTATTTTATCAGATATCCAATCTTTGAAGCAAAATCTCAGTCTAGAGTTGCCTGTAGTGAAGCCTCCTGCAGATCTTGTGTTAAGTTTTGGCTTTAATCTGCTAGTCCATTTTATTTCATATGTAGACATTAAACTCATAGGTCATGTAACAGCCATGTTTTCAAGGTTATAAGCAGGTATTCAGCAGGATCATCTTATTTTTTAGTGGCAAACTAAATAGGTTATGGAGGAAAACATTGTAGTAAACACACACACACACACACACACACACACGCGCGCACATACAAATTCAGGCTGACAGTCTGCGGTAATGTCAAGGCATTGCTCATATCACACCACCTTAACTGAGGTACGGTAATGTTACCTTGTCCAAAGTGAACTAACAAGCTTTGCCTGAGCTACAACTGCAACCTACTGGAAAGAAGTGCAAAGTGAGGTTTGCCTCTATTCATTCTCTGTGTCAAAACACCTGCAGCTGCTATTTTCCATCAAGAATCCGTCACACAGCCGTCAGCTTGAGACATGTTACCTCCCACAGTTGAGTCTCTTTCAGCCACCTCAAGTGAAGCAGAGAGGAGGAGAGCAGTTTCAGAAATAAACTACACCACTACACCACTCTTCCGATGGATCAGTTAGTGTAATATGCCATCTGTAGTATGAATCAAAGCTAAAAATTCAAATTAAAATGGAATTACTTCCCACTATTGCAACAAATAACCCTAAATATCGACTGCCAAAACTGTTTCAAGATCCTCTGACTATGTGGAATTAAGGTTTTTTTTTTTCCCTTTTTTTGTAACATCTAGCAGTGGACCACTTTCTTAGTGTTTTTCCACTGCTGCACTACTTCCAACTGTTTTTTTCAATTGCAAGAAGAACTTTCAACTCCCAAAATACTGGTGTTATTTTAAGATCATCAAGGGGGATTAAGGGAAACGAGACTTTGCTGTTGAGCGCAAACACACACTACACACATACTGTACACACTGACCACATAATGAGCTGCTTTATCTCCCCATCTGTGTTTCTGCTTTATTTTAGCTCATTTAGAGGCAGCCGGTTTTTATTTAGGGCTAGGTTTATTAGTGGCAGAGTGGAGAGGGAGAAGTGGTTGGATGGTGTTGGAGTCACCTGGGAAATCAGGGATTAGATAAAGCTACCTGCTTATTCCTTATTATGATTTGTCTCTGATTATTACACCAGTAACAACAGGTGGCCCCCTATCTAGGAATATCTGTAACTTTTATGTTAATTCTAAAATTATGCACACACTCATGCAGCCACACACTTGCAGCAGAACAAACACAAGGACGATTTAAAACTATGTAATTGTCTACTAATAGGAGCATCCATCTCTATCCATTCCTTATCTAGACTCGTTAGTCTTTGCTTTGTTCTTCTTTTTTCTTTTGCCATCCATTAGTTTCCTTTATGTCTCCCTCCTGTCGCCCTTATCTGTGTCTGATCAGCCCCCATTGTCAGAAAGCCGACTCTAAAGGAAAAGCTCACAATACCTCCAGGGATCCATTTTTTACTTATTTTGTGTTTTTTTTTTAAGACAGATATGTCGCAGCAGTTTCTTCCTCCCTGATCACCTCATTACCTTCCACTAAGATCAGATAGCCAAACAGGCAGCAAAGGAGGTATTTAAATGAAAAATACAGTCACAAATCACTGAAAATGTATCTTTGGAATGACCCTCTCGAGAGGATTTAGAGACTATTGCAGTAATGCAATTTTTCATGCAGGATTTTGTGAAGTTACACATGCAGATGGTGACAAAGTAAAAAACCTGAATAAAGAAGCAGAAAAACATGATGAAGGCAGATGCTTCCAAGGGTGGGTTTCTGGATGGTTTGATGAATATGAAAATGATGTAAATCATGTGGGCCTCACAGTCACCAGATCTGAAACCAGTTGGACACCTATGGGAAATTTGGTTGTCTCACACTTTTGTTTGCAGACACATTGAGGAAATAAAATTTATTCTGCAGCATGAATGATATAATTTTTGCACTGCAGACATTAGTGTTGAACCCTATATAACGCATAATAAGGTGTCCTTGTAGACAAATATATAAGACCAGACATATGTGAGTCCAAGTCTTGTTTTTTTCTATATCAGAACACCTCAGACTGTTTTATTGTGCTTATACCTTTACCACTTAGCACAAGTATTCCTTTTTCCCAAGTTTTTTTTCAGTCAGTTTAACTCAAGTTTTGGTCTGTTTCACCTGTGAAACATAACTAGTTAGTTTGCACAAGGTTTTGTTGCTATAGCTGCCATTGTTGCCTACAGTTTTAGATACCTTACATACTGATTTTAGAACAATTGTTCAGCTGAATGGTCACTGAACCCAAAACTGTCAAACAATTTAAATTACTTTGAACAAAATGAAATGAATGTAATAATAAAATCTGTTTCATTTTATGGATTGCAAATACATTTTTTGAAATATTCTTGAAATGGATAATTAGGAACTGACAGAGTATCACACACACATTAACAGTTAGGTTAGATTAGATTAAGCTGCTAATCAAAGTCTCTGATTGACCTTTTCTCCATTTAGAGTAAAACTAGTCCTGTGTCTCCACTCAAATATTTCCCTCTCTTTATCCAGGAGCCCCCACTGGTCCCTATTTAAAGGAAGACAACTCCCACTGGCAGCTGCATGCTCACTACTACCCTCCTCTGCTCCGCTCAGCTTCAGTTAAGAAGTTTATGGTCGGGTATGAGATGCTTGCTCTGGAGCAGAGAGACCTCACCCCTGAACAGGTGAGTAATATAACATATGTACAATTCCACTGTTATATAGTAGTGAGGTTTGAGATACAAAGTTAGTATTATTGTTTACATACAGAGACTATGAAGGAAAAGGCCATGCAAGTTTATTTATAAAGCACATTTCAGACAGAAGTGCTTTATGTAGACAAAAGCATTGGAATAACATTAAAAAAATAAGAATAAAAAACAGAATAAAAGCAAATAAAACAGAATATAATATATGAAACAAAATAAAATACATACAATTAAAATGAAATACAAATCTACAAAGATATTAGTAGACCAGAGATTCAGTTGCAGTGCAGTTACAGTACAGTAATAAGTTAAAAGTTGCCCCAAAGGCAAACAAAGGAAATAAAAGTGGATTACAGAAACCAATCAACCAAAGGCCTTTCATTAAGATTTGAAAGTCAACATCAACAAGAAGTTGGTTCCATCTATGTGCATCATAGCAGCTAAAAGCAGCTCCACCCTGTCGAGGTCCTGCCAGCTGACTGCTTCCCAAAGCTCTAAGAGCCCTACTCTGAGATCAGAAATATACTTTGGCCCCAAATTGTTGACTGATTTTGGAACTGACAGCAGCACTTTAAAATCTGTTCTGTAGGTCACTAGGAGCAATTGTAAAGATTTAAGGATTTAACAGGAGTGATGTGTTCACCTTTCCTGGTTCTTGTTGGAACTCTGAACTAGGGCTGTTCCAAACGATTATTCTTTAATCAATTAATCTAGCGATTATTTTTTCGTTTATTTGACTAATCTAACGATTATTTTTTTTATTAACCTAACAGTAATTTCGCTGCACCAGGGTGTTTCCTCTTTATGTGCTCGTGCATGACTGTCGTGCTAGAGTGATATGCCAGATGCACTTCGCAGAGTCTGCAGATTACCGCACTGTTGGTGTCAAGATTAAAGTATTCCCAAACTTTGGAGGACCGCGTGCGAGCCTTTTTTGCCGCGTGTTGCTCCACACGCTCCGTCGTACTGCTGGTAGACACCGCCATGTTGTTCAAATAGATTACACAGACACAAATCATTCACATAGTCAATGACTTCAATTACATCACTGCGTTGTCCCAGCCCTTGCGCTGCGCTTGTATCCGGGTAAACCAAAGACGATGGATATAAACGGTCCCATTAGAAAGTTCTGGTTTTGTTCTATTAACATTTACCCTGTGTGGTTTTACACGACACGTTGACACTAAAATTCCACGTCGAATAATTTTTATAATCGACAACGACGATTACATCGGATAATCGTCCCAGCCCTACTCTGAACTTATGAATGAGCTGTTTGTCTAATGGCCTTTTTCAGAAGATCATTACAATAGTCCACCTTGCTGGAGGTGAAGGCATGAACTAGTTTCTCTGGAGCTTGTGTAGACATGAGACGTCTAATCTTGCTCATTGTTTGAGATAATAAAATGCTCATTTAGTTATTGCCTTGATGTGGCTACTGAAGCTCAGATCAGAGTCAATTAAGACACCAAGATTTCTGTCTTGGGTGTTTGTCTTTATAGCTCTGGAAACAAGCTCTGTAATAACTTTAAAATAAATTGATTTCTGTCTTGTCTTTATTTAATTCAATGAAATTTAACTGTCCCTAGCCGTTTACTTGCCCTAAGCACTGATAGAGTGAGTCTAAGCGACCATCGTCGCCTGGTGAAAGAGCTACGTTGAATATAATCTGTGCTGCTGTGATAAGCAACGTCATTGTCATTTGTGATTTGACCCAATGTTACAGAATCATGTACAGGTTGAATAACAGTGGCTTAAGAATCGAACCCTGGGGGACCACACAAAAAAGAAGCTCAGTAGGCTCATTGAGAGACACAAAGTCAAGGTAGTAATATGTGGGGGACTAGTTAGCTTCTCAACAGTGGAAAACATGACACAAGGAATGTTGATATTCTTGTTGATGTTGTTAGAGAAAAGGCTCATCTGTAGCCTTGCAAATACGAAGCATCTCTTAGTAGATCTCATAGTCATTCTCAAGATTAATTTTTCTCCATTTGCCCTCAGATTTCCCTCATTCACTTTTCTCACTTGTGACAGCTGGGGTGTTTCTCCACGGTTCTTGCCACAGATGACTTTTCAGGTGCAATGGCGTCATTAATCTTCAGTCAAAATTATCAGACCGAATCAACGGAATCTGACGTTAAACTCACTGACACACACATATGTAGCTTACATAAAAAGACAAATAGCAAAACAGAAATAGCAAACTGAGATATCAGAGAAAACACAAACGGTCAGAGAGGCCTACATCCCTTACAACAGGCCCATTAAAAAAAGTTGACCTTCTTCCAGCACACTAATTATAATTGCAAATCCAGAATTGCAGTGAATCGCTCTTTGTCTCTGCATTTGTCTTTACAGTTGTATAAAAGCTCAATGTTTGTGTTTTTAGGCTGCTGAGAAGCTAAGAAGCCTACCAGAAGAGCACTATAAAACCAGAGGGAACCAGGAAAAGGGAGGAAGAAAAGATAAAGAAGACAAATGAAAATAGAAGTCAAAGTGAAACAACCTGTGTGATCGGTAGAAGAGAGGGGGGAAATACACAAATGGGAACCCAGCTTTATTTTAATCACAGTATACGTTTTGGAAATGTGTTGTTGATGTATTGCTTTTGTTTTCGAAAAGAAAGACATGTGAAAGTGCCTATGCCAACACAGGGCTTAAACATATTCTTACTTGCACAGTGTACAATATATGTATATATTTTTAATACATTTCTGTGTACACAAAGCTGCTACTGGGCTCTTATGAAATGGGCCTCAAACAAAATGTGCTATGGACCCCCTCCTCTCTGTTTTTGGGCGATAATGAGAGAACGTTCTTCCTTTCTACCCCGCTGTCCCTTCTGTCGAATTTAAACAAACTTTGCTTGTGGTTTGGCTATGTTGCAAAGCTTTCAACCACAAAGCTTTTTCTTCCAACAACACAGTGAGTTATTTGTGATTCAAATGAAGGATTTTGTTTCTTGGGAATGTTTTTTTTACATGGAAAACAATTCTTGAATATGTTAACTGTCAGCTTTCAGGCTCAAAAGAGTGTGATTGTGTAATGCATAGTTTTTTTTATAGAAAAGAACTGATTAAACAGGCAGAAGAGGAAGTATTATCCTGACATTTTACTTCATGCATTCTTATTAGGCACCTAAGTTTCTGAATATGACCAAAATCCATCCATTTGTCAGGGTTTGAAATGTTTAAAACATATTGATAAGAAATTGTTGAGAATAAAATATAGAATGAAAGCTATTGCAATAGTTTTTATAGTTTTTATTATGGTTTTTACATTATTATCATAACTTTTGCGAAAAAAGGATACTTTGGTACAGTCTTGTATAGTACAAGACTGTACCTGTACCTGTAGTCTTGTATAGTACAAGACTGTACCAAAGTATCCTTTTTTCGCAAAACACTGATGCATTTATTCAACACTGTACAGTCTGTCAATGGTGACACAAAATGATGATGAATCTTAAGTTTTGTACATTTGAAAATGGGAAGGGAATAGTCATGTCAAAGCATGGGTTTGAATGTTTCAACACCACAGAGAAGGACAGAGTCTGGGTTTCATCATTTCTGAACCATAGAAAGAGTTTTTTCAGCACCAGAGAGAGAGAGAGACCAGAGGTGAGTGTTTCAATGCCATGGCGAGAGAGAGAGAGACCAGAGGTGAATGCTTCAGTGCCATAGAGAGAGAGAGAGAGACCAGAGGTGAATGCTTCAGTAACATAGAGAGAGAGAGCCCAGATGTGAATGCTTCAGCACCATGGAGAGAGAGAGAGAGAGAGAGAGAGAGAGAGACCAGAGGTGAATGCTTCAGAACCATGGAGAGGGAGAGAGAGAGAGAGAGACCAGAGGTGAATGTTTCAGCACAGTGGAGAGAGACAGAGACGTTGAAGAAGTCAACATGTTAAAGTAGTGGGTCACATTTTTTTTTTTTTTTTTTTTTTTTTTACAATACTACCAACCCCATATGTGCTTTGAACGAGTTCTTGGTTGCTGCAACTGTTTTCTTTGTCCATACTTGGCACAAAGAGATTCCTTCCTAAAGCGATTTTGATCTTAGTGATGGGCGACAAAATCCATAATCCTTGTTCTCAAGTTCAGCTGACACTAGAATGAGGCATCAGCTGTCCTGTCCTTACAGTACAAAACACCCTCTTTGAGCTTCAAAGGACAGTGTTTGTTTGCTGAGCCATGGCAGAGAGACAGCAACACAAAAAGATTTTTGTACTAAAAAGAGTGAAACTTTAATCACACAGACTGTCAGTGATTACAGGTGAATGGCTCAAAACAAGTTAAACATTCACTTGTGTTTGTCAGATGATGGCATGCAAATAAAAAGGCCAAGGTAACTCTTGACATGTTTAATGAGGTGTGCTCTCACCATGACAACAGCAGATGGTAGTGTTGCTTAAAAAGTGAGGAAGATGACCTGGATTTAGGCTGAGAATCTGACCATGCTTTAACATATACTAAAACTTTTAAATGCAAACTCTTCCTCTTTTAGTCCATTGTAAACTTGTCTCCCTCAGCAGGCAAGTCAGAGGTCAGGTTCAACTCCAGAATAATGTCCATAGAGCAAATAGGAGCTCAGTATTTCACTCAAGGATGGCATGGTATAGGCCTTTATGATGCTAGGGCATGTTCCCTATCCTGATCTTCTTCAGGTCTAGGTCAAAGGTCAATGCCAAGGATGCTTGGAATCCCATCTGAGTTTGACTGGTCAAGACAAAGGTTAACTGCTTCCCCATGCCCCTTCCTCCCAGCATCCCCAAGACAGGTTGATGCATGATCGCTCTATTGTTCATATGCATTTTAGTGGGAGATAATATCGCAGCTTCAAAAGGTCTTATCCTAAATTGTGAGTAGAACAAGGTCATTCATCATTTTCACTTTGTTTATATGCATAGTGGATGAAGATAATACCACGGGTTCAAAAGTTCACACGTTGATTGATTCTGGACGTAAGATGTTAGATTATAAATTAATTTTTTGACAGCCTATTATGATTGTGTTAAGAGCTGCAGCTTGAATCTAAAGGTGTTTCACCATTGTTTTCAGAAAAGAGAATTCCCTTAACTGGGAATACTCTCAACTTCCTGAAGCTGATTACAGTGAATAATCTTTAATTTATGTCACTATTAACTTTTAGGTCTAAATAACTTATCTCTTTGTGTCATCACACGGCAGAGTGCTTGGGAGCAGCTCTTGAGGCATGCCTTACAACCTTGGGTCAACTCTCTTGGTGGTCTTTGATGGAAACTAACGTGGATGTAAATTGGCTTCCCCGAGTTGAGCTGTGAAAGAAAAGCAAGGCACCACTAGCCAAGATCCAAACCAGGGGAAGAAGCAACAGAACGCCAAAGTCAATTACTGTCCTGATTATCCTGCAGCTGCAGGTGAAGCTGAAGACAGTCCTGAGGGAGAAAGGCAAGCATTTTTGTGGGAGGTCAAGAAGAAGAACCAGCATTGATCAAAAATAAAATGGAAGGAACCTTTGCTTATAGAGGACAGGAATCCATTCATTCAGATCCCTTCATAGCAGAGTTCTGAGACAAGTGGACAACATTTCTTTTTTATTAGAGCAAGGTAATATTTTGATATTTTCTTTGTATTTTAGTTTGGGATGTATCAAAGAAAACCAAAGCCCAGTTAAAAAGATCTTGTTTTGCTTTTATCCATGGTTGAAGTTCTGTCTTTGCTACAGAATCAGTACTGTGAAACCAATTGATGTGTTTTCTATAACCTATAGAATCATATTTCTGAAGTTGTGAGATTCAGATAAAACAGGATTTCCTCAGTAGTAAAATATCTTAATGGAGTGTCAGAAGATTTCTGAGTGGTAAATACTATCAAATTGGACATGAGTGAGTATGAGAAGGTCTATATCTTGCAGAAAGGGACATGAATTGTGATGTACCTTTTTGATGGGTGAATGAGCAAAAAGAAAAACCACATACATTTCCACATATTTATTTACCCAGAAAAGAGCAGACTCGTGTTTCAATCCCCAACACACATGATGACTGAAGTGTTTTTAATATTTGAAACTGGTGTGAGATCATGTATTTCTGTCATGCCCTCAGCTTGTGCCCCCTCTCCCTCCTCGCCAGGAGCTCCTCTCTCTGTCTATCTGTCTGTCTGACTGTGTTGTGCTCTGATTACAGGAGTGGGATCAGGTGCTTAAGTGTCTTGCTGCACCAAGACACCTAACTGCTAATCATCTCCAGTCTTCTCTGTTTTAAGTACTGGGCTTCAACTGCCACATCATAGACTCAGCTACACAGTATAGTCTCATTCCAGCCTTTATGAACATCCTTGCTTGTTTGAGCCTTTCTCCGGCCCGACCCCTGCCTGTCCATCTCCTGCTCTGTCTGAAAAATGCACTAGATCAGCTCAGCCTCTGCCCTTCACCTGCTTTGCCCTTCTCAGCTCCCCTACTCATGTCTCAAGCCTCGGACTCCTGCTTTCAGCCTCAACCTCTCCCCCGGTTCCCCCTCATCTAGCCTTTGCTCTCCTCTGCCCACAAAGACTCTGCTGCCCATTCTTAACAAATAATGTCAGCTTGTTAATAAATGAACCATTGTTCCAATTCCCAGCCTCTCCTCCTGTGTTGTGCACTCTGATCTAGCCCGGTAACAATTATACTATGTAGGAAGATTCACAAGAATCAATTTGACTGATTTTTTCTATCACTCATTGTGTTTCAGGTAAAAGCAGAATTCCCCGACATTACAACTGTTCCTCTGTTGGCCAAATGCATGTCCCAACTGGATCACTGTTTGACGCAGCTAATGAGGGTGTCATCATGGCAGCCATAGACAAGGTATGTGTCGGTATTACAATTTGGCACAGGCCCCTGTGTGTTTAAAAATTTGTTCCAAGCACTAAAATACTAGTTTGGTTTACAATCACAGCACTGCACAAAAGAGGATGCTTCCAAAAGTAACACCATGAACTTCATACAAACTGCAAAAACCAAAAAAAAAAAGATAAATCAATTTTGTGTTGCCACCCCTTTGTCTTTAAAACAGCACCAGTTCCCCTTGGTACACATCTAGTTTTTACTTGGCAGGTAGCTTGTTGTTGTCTGAGTGTCTTCTGTCTCTTCATGTGATCCCAGACTGACTCCATGATGTTGAGATCAGGGCTCTGTGGGAGTCCGACCATCTGTTGCAGGACTCCGTGTTCTTGTTGTCTCTTCTTCATGACTCTGCCTGTGTGTCTGGGCGGCTAGTTGTCGTGCTGCAGAATGAATATCGGTGCTGAAGGATCACTGTCTCCCTATCCATATACTGTAACATGTCATTGGGATTAAAGGAGCCGCACTCGGCTGGTTTAAGTCATATCTGGTAACAGGCTTTCCAAGATGCATGTCCGTCAAAACAGATTACATGAGTAATCCTACCTGCAATAGATGAGACCGTGAACCTTGGAGTTGCAGTCATCTCTTGACCAAAAATATCTCACTGTAAACTGAGCAATTTTGAACTTTGGACTGCTGGCTGTGCAAAAAGCAAACGGAAGACAGAATGTTGATCAAGAAGTTTGATAATCATTGAAGTCACCTCAGCCAAAATTGCCAAACATTTGCTTTTTCCGTTTCAATAAGCTGCTTACACAAGCTGAATGTAGGGTTGCTCTTCATGGGAGTACAGTCTCTCCTATTCACTCTCAGTTACCGCAGTTACTCTTATCACTACACATCAGGCTCAATGGACCAAGACTACAGAGAGACTGTACCTGCAGGCTCATGACAATCAGCTTCATGTCATATCATTAGGTAGCATGTTCTATGCAGTTGTCATTACTCTAGGAATACTAGATTTTGTTTACCACATATTGACAGATAAAACTGAAGTGGTTCTGGCTTCACGTTGCTTCGAGTTGCATCATTTAAGTCTGAACTCACCTTTGTATTTCTCCCATTGGTAAACCAATTAAGGGGAACCTTTACTCTTTACTGCCTTACCCCACCCGCACATTTTTGATAAAGCTGAGTTTCACTTTTATTACAAAGAAGCACTGCATCAGAGCTGTATAGCCATCCCCCACAACTACATACTGCTGACCATCTTGTGCGTAGTGTTTGACCTCCAACATGGAACCAGCTATTGAAACCCATAGTGGTCATAGCAGTTTCCACTTAAATTATGAGCAAATATTTAGCAAATTTTGGAAACTTCTATTGTTACTTGAATATTCTCAAATGTGTTTAACAAGATTACACGATGAAA